AATATTAAAAAAAAGACACTGAGTTACTAGAGCCTTGTCTTTGTAGGGTTTCAAGGTTTCTCAAAATCAAAAGCCTGCTTTTTCCCCTTGATAGCCCCAGTGGCAATACCCCTCAATAAATTATCTGTTGCCTGACTAGCTTCATACCTAATGACTTTATTCATTTCCAGTGTGAATTTCCTCTTATCATCGCCCTTTTTAACTATCCCACATGTTTTCTTCATGTAATATTGTCCTTAAGGTATTAGGAAACATATCTTTCGAGGAAAATTATATAAGATATACAAGGTCCATTAAGACCCACTAAAACAGGATGTTGAAAGGGATAAATTTGTGTCAATCCTTTTAACTTGTGACTGTTTAATGGCCAACCTCTCTCTGCCTAGCATTGTTCCAGGTACCCTGCTCTCTTCATTCTATGACCTTCCCCCCCCCTTATTATCCTTTATTCCCCCTCACTTCAGCTACTTAGTCCCCTTGGTCATTTCTGACCTGGTCATCACAAATCATTTCAACACCTTCATATTTAATTGTAATACCAACACTTCCTACCCTTCTCGATCATTCTTATTCCTGGTGACCAATAATCGGCTGATCCTATGGTGATCTCTAATCCACTAACTCCCACTTTTTCATTATCCATCCAACCTCTCATGTCCTCCTTTCCCTGGCTTCTGACTTAGGCCAAACCCAACCCTAGCTGTTGCAGCCATCTGGAGAGTGAACCAGCAGACAGAAGATCTCTCTCTCTCTCTCTCTGTCTCTCCATCTCTCTCTAATTATTTCAAATAAAAATAAATAAATCTTAAAAATTTTTGTAAAAACCTTTTCCTTGTCTTCCATCTTTAAAACAAATCTCTTGGGGCCAGCTCTGTGGTACAGCAGGTTAATGCCCTGGCCTGAAGTGCCGGCATCCCGTATGGGCGCTGGTTTGAGACCCAGCTGCTCCACTTCTGATCCAGCTCTCTGCTGTGGCCTGGGAAAGCAGTGGAGGATGGCCTAACTCCTTGGGCCCCTGCACCTACATGGGAGACCTGAAGGAGGCTCGTGGCTCCTGGATTCGGACCGGCACAGTTCTAGCCACTATGGCCAATTGGGGAGTGGGCCATTGGATAGAAGACCTCTCTCTCTCTCTCTCTCTCTCTCTCTCTCCTCTCTCTGTGTAAATCTGACTCTCAAATGAATAGATAAATCTTTTAAAAAAAAATCTCTTTAATGCACATTCATGTACAGTAAGAACCTCATGTTTTGTTTTCTTTCAGGATGAAACCTTTAGGAAAAGGTGTTCATGGTCAGCATTTTATTTTCACTTCCTCAATTTCTATTGATCCATTCAATTAGTCCTGAATCCACTCAGTTGGACTCTCACCCCCACCACCCTACCAAAATTGCTTTTATCAGAAGTCTATGTTGCAATGATGGCTAATATTTTATGTAATTTTTTTATTTGAAAGAAGGAGGGAGAGAGGGAAGGAAGGGTGGAAAGAGAGAGAGAGAGAGAGAATATCTTCTGCTTCACTCTCCAGAGGCCCCAAATAGCCAGGACAGGGTGGGGGCTGGACATGGGAACCAGGAATACTCTCCAGATTTCCTGTATTTGTGGCAGGAACCCAATTACCTGAACCATCACCATTGTTTCTCAGGGTCTGCAACAGCAGAGCTGGAATTAGTAACCAGAGCCAGAAATTAAACCCAGGTACTCCAATGTGGGATACAGGTATCTTACCCACCAGGCTAATCTAAATACATTATTACCACTCACCCCTCTGCTCAAGCCAGAAGCCTGGGGCAGGGGCAGTCTCTTTAAAATGTTTCCAATAATTTGGGGGAAAGGGCCTGCTTCCACAAGGCCAAACAACTCTTACCCAGGTCTTCTTCTTTCCACTCCACTGCCACCTCTCTAGCCTAAGGAATCATCTGCTACAGGAATACAGCAGTTTCCCACTACCTCCTAGCCCTGGGACCCATTCTCCGCAGCATTCCAGTGATCTGTAAAACTGCCATTCAAGTGCCTCACTCACCTCCTCACGCTCATCAGCGGCTTCCCATCCCCATCAGGATAAAGCGACTTAATCTCCGCCATGGCCCCTCACTGCCATGCCCACACCCTTCTAGATTCACCTTTCTCCTCTTGTGCTAAGCTGCCTACATTCTGGTCTTTCACCCCCTTCTGGAACCTTCCAAGGCCCATCCTGCCTAAGACACCCTCAAGTACTCCTCTTCCTGCTTGTAGCCCTTCTCCCTCTCCACATTTCTGCTCCATCTACCTGGATTCTACACATCCTCAATTGAAACATCACTGCCTCAAAGATTTCCCTGACACTTCCCTCCCTCTCATCAGAGTACATCCCCCCACCAGAAAACTCCATCCCTCTCTCTCTCTCTCTCTCTCCCTCCCTCTCTCTCTCTCTCACACACACACACAGTCCTCGCCATTCTTTTCATTGCTTCAGTAGCATATTATTTCCAACTATACCTGTGCTTTTGTTCAGCTTTGGATTTCTGGTGCCTAGCAATACATAACAGATGTGCAATATCAAATGCTTGTTAAATTATTGAAAACAAAACTTATTGTAACTGTAAAAGAAATATAAAAATACCTGCAGTCACACAGATAAAATGTTTAGGAACTTGACTTTGAGCTTGTAGCACCCACCATGGTGGCTACAACCATGGCATCTACAGATTCCTCTACACTGGATGCTAATCTATATGACGTATATACTCCCTTATATCCTACAGGTTTCTTTATTGGGTAAGCTCAGTATAAAACAGCAACACACAGCACCACTGTATCCTTAAGGCTTGGACTGTAGGCACATTCCATATACTCACTATTTTTCTAAATGAATTAGCTAAGGTTTGATGTAATGCCTAAAATGAAATACTCCTACCACCACAAATACTCAGAGCATCTCTAACTCAGATTTGCAATGTAAATAAATAGACAATATTTTGATAGGAAAAAAAATAACTGTGAAAGTCCTTGGAGAGGGGCTGGCGCTGTGGCATAAAGCTGCCTCTTGTAGTGCCAGCATCCCATATGGGCGCTGGTTCAAGTCCCGGCTGCTCCACTTCTGATCCAGCTCTCTGCTATGGCCTGGGAAAGCAGTAGAAGATGGCCCTTGTCCTGGGATCCCTGCATCTGCATGGGAGACCCAGAAGCAGCTCCTGGCTCCTGGCTGCAGATAGGTGCAGCTCCGGCCATTGCGGCTATCTGGGGAGTGAACTAGCGGAAGGAAGACCTCTCTCTCTGCCTCTGCCTCTCTGTAACTCTGCCTTTCAAATAGATAAATAAAACTTGTTTAAACAGAAAAAAAAGTCCTTGGAGAGGAAGGAACATAGGTAAATCAATTTCCTGCTGCTTAAAAAAAATTAGACCAAATGAACTCAAAGGTCTCTTTCATTGTGAAATTTTGATTCTCAGATTATATGTTAGACCTTTGGAACAGCAGATGTAAGAACTATTGAAATTAAGGGGGGGGAGGTTTCATAGGACACTGGTATAATTGGTACCCCTAACTTAGTACTGATTTTTCCCAGGGCATTAGCTAGGACTTTGTACTGAGTGTTTTTAAATCTTCATGACTCTAGCATTTTTGGGTGTTTTTTTTTTTTTTTTGAAGATTTTTTATTTATTTGAGAGGTAGAGTTACAGACAGTGAGGAGAGACAGAGAGAAAGGTCTTCCATCCAATGGTTCACTCCCCAATTGGCCACAATGGCTGGAGCTGCGCTGTTCTGAAGCCTGGAGCCAGATGCTTCTTCCCTGTCTCCCATGAGGGTGCAGAGGCCCAAGCACTTGGGTCATCTACTGCCTTCCCAGGCCATAGCAGAGCTGGATTGGAAGAGGAGCAGCCGGGACCAGAACCGGTGCCCATATGGGATACTGGTGCTGCAGGCCACAGCGCCGGCCCCTAGCATTTATGTGAATAGATGATCTCACAGTTTAGGAATGGCTTTTCAAAGAGACTCAGAATAAGACTAAATTATTCCTCAAAAATACCAGCTTAAAATGGCAAGGACAAGCACTAGACTAGAAAAGAACACGGGTCTGGACTCAGAACTGGGACAAGTGCTGGCTCTGCTGGCCCCATCTGAATGACCTTGGCCACAGGACTGGACTCCTGTGAGATTGTTTTTCTTCAGATCTAAGTAAAATTTTACCAGGTGGTCTTTAAAATCCCTGTGATCTAAGATACTGACAAGTTTATAAACAAGAGCATGTTATCCTTGTAATGTAAAATTCCCATTGCTTCCCACTGAGTTTAAAATAAAACCCAGGTCCCTGTCCTGGTCTAAATCCCTTGCATGGTCTTTCCACTGCCCACCTGATCTCAACCCAACCACTCTGGTTTTAAAACAAGCCAGGAATGCTGCTGTATCAGGATGGAACATCTGTTGTTCTCACAGCCTGGAGATTCTGTCCCAGATCTTTACATCATAGCTCCTTTTTATTCAAATTCAGCACAGTTGTCAGGAGAGCTGTCTTTCCTGAACACTCAATCCTCAGCACCCTCTTGCCCATGCTCTCTCTCCCTTCATCCTTGTCTTATTTTATCCATTGTACTTATGATCTAAAGTTGTGTGGCTATTTGATAACTTGTTATTTGAGAGATTCATTCTATCGGAACGTACTGCTACCTGAAAGCAGGAACCTATCTAATATCCTACTGCATGTCCAGAGTGCCACCAGAGCCTGCCATCAAGGTAGATTCTCAGCATATACTTATTGACTTCAGACTTAGGATCAAGTTCGGTAGTTCTCTTGGCACCTTTTTTTGTATGATCAAGATAGTATGTCCCCAAATATGAAAATACTTTTATAAAGATGGGGGGGGGTGGAGTCCCTTTAGCTTCAAGAGCAATCACTACAGTGGATGGCCCGGAGCTGGCAATTACATCATCTGGAACTGATGGTACCCACCACGTATTCAGAGTATTGACCTTCATAAGTAACCTAAGGAAAAGGTTTAGACAGGCACCTCCGTATTTACTTACATTTTAGTACAATATTTTGTTAAAATTCAATGTGACTGTCTTCCCTTGTAATTCTCTGCATTTTAGTTCATGGATTTGAAATTTTGCAGGTCTTCCACTTACAAGCTACATGATGTAGAGCAATTAGTTCCCCTCTGTTTTCTCGCCTATAAATAGGAATAAACAACTTACAACACTGTGATGTTGTTGAGAATTCAGTAACACTATTTACAAAAAGAGCCATCATATACCAGGCTCATTGCAGACACCAGCAAAATGTTCTGTCCATCTAGTTTCCTAATCCTTTTATGATTACGGGTTTCTTAATAGATTTCAAGATAATAATCAGTGTATGGCATTACAGCACTTTCCAGACCTGAGTGGTGTTGTCAAGTCTTAATTGTAGCTACTGCTAAAAATATCTAAGACCAGTTGCTGACTTTGACCTTGACATATTTAAATACTGACAGCATGTGTGGAAGCCTAGTTCTAGATTTGACTAGTATTTTCTGAAGAACTTTGGTAAATAATTTATCCTTTCTCTGTATAACATTGCTCCCTCCCCTTTGAGTAGCCCTCAGTAAGTAAGTTTAAATATAATTTAAACTTTAGCTGAGATGGTTATTAGCATGAATAAAGAGATAAAGTGTTTTCTCAGGAAGCGAGCATGCATAACAAATGTTATTATCTTAATGATTAAAACATTTAATTAACTGAACTATGAAAGAGTCTAAAGTAGTCTTTCACTGTTAATTACAGCAACCTTTGAAATCATTGCCCTTTGGCTATCTATTTGATATCAGGAAGGAGTGACTTATGAAGTGGCCAGGTTTTCCAGGTCCCAAAGATCAGTGCATTACATTTAGTAAGAACTTGTGAAATTCCTAATTTCCTATAAATTCCTGTAGAGCTGGGACCATGCATTTTTCATTCTTCTCTTTTATGGTTCAAAATTATCTGAAATTACAGTATTAAAATAAAAATTTATTTTTAAGGATTTAAAAGTAAGTTAAGAAAATCCCAAATATAAACAGATTTTTATTTTTCTTTTCTTGACATAGTTTTCTATAGAAATATGTGTATACATTTATAAATAGATATATAAATGGAAATATACTAGTAATATATGAATTATAATATATATACTTATATGTTGTTAAGTATATAATGTTAAACTTCCAAGCTAGTCCAAAAACTTCAAATGAGCCCATAATAAATAAAGCAGCTAGATTGCGTCTTTCTTTTGAACACCATTACGTGTATTTTATGACTCCTAAGTATTGTCCCTGGGCTGCATTTCCCTCTGAAGTGAAGCTTTGGCTCATAATCACTACCTAGATTCCCAAGTAGGACACAAGAGATGTTAATGTGCACTCACTTCACACCCAGGACATAATATTAATAATAGGCTCTGCCAAATTAGTATTTATGATTTCTAATGCATTAGGCATTTGTCACCTGAGATCGATAGATGTCTAGTGGATCTGTGGCGGGAGATGTGGAGTTCAAGAGAGACTGTCCTGAAGTTGCAGGTAAAGCCTACCTCATATGGGCACTTTTCTGGAAAGCCACTCTCAAAGGGCTTTGTAATCCAAAAAAGAGGTCAACTGCTGTGGTCTCATTTGTCACCCAACATGACTTGGTGAGGAGGATTGTGTAAGGATTACTACATCAGGACACTCCCCAAGTCAGGGACAACAGGCTAACAGGTAGTGGCCCCAGGAAGTCCACTGACCAGAAAAGCAGGAGCCGAGGTGCACACAGGAGCTGCGAGCAGGACAGCTGGCTGGGGAGGGGGGACATGAGGAAATGAGACAGAGGCAGAAGGAATTCCCACATGGTGACATTCTGAGAGGAAGTAGGAGGAGAAGGGGGAAACTGAGCGGAATCTAAGCTGTGATACTGTGAGTGCGTCTCTGTTCCCCTTCCTAGCACACAGCTCCTAAAAATTCTCATTGGTTGAGTGATGAGGTGCTAGGCACATCTTTTTTTTTCCAGTTTCTAACACAGAGCTCCTGATCTCTTGTCACTTCCTGGCCAACAGGAGTGTCGTTGCTGCTAATGAGGCAACTCTTGCTGGGCTCCTGGATGGCATCTGGTCACCATAGAGACCAGGCAGTGATTAGAAAGACGCTTAGAACTGGCAACCTCACCCTTCCCCCATCCTCAGGAAAGAGGAGAGGGATTTAGGATTGAGTTAAGAATTGATTGTGCCTACATGATTAAGCTTCCATAAATCTCTCTGGACTATGGGATTGAGAGAGAGCTTCGTGGTTGCTGAACAGATGGAGGTGCTTCCAAGGTGGTGCTCCCAGAGTAGCTGTGGAATCCCCAAGCCCCCTCTCCCAAACTTCACCCAATGCCAATGCTTCCACCTGGCTGTTTGCCTCTATCTTCTGTAGTATCCTTTATAATGTGGTAAATGAGTAAATATAAGAAAAGCATTTCTCAGAATTCTGTGAGCCCTTCTAGTTTATTATGGAGCACAAAGAGAGGATCCTGGGAGCTTTGTATTATAGCCAGTTGATCAGAAATACCAGACACCTGGACTTGTCACTGGTATCTGAAATGTGTGGCTGTCCTGAGGCAGTGAGCCCTTAGATGGCGAATCTGGGGAGACAGTATCAAAACTGAATTAAATTGTTGGACCTCCAGTTGGTATTCATAGAATTACTTGAGAGGAGAAATAAAAACCCACATATTTTGGTTACCAGAAGTGTTAGGAGAGAATAAAAGAGGAAAAACAGTCCGTTCTTCCCATACAGAAAGGAGACATGCTTGAGGAAAATGCAAAGGCTGCAATTTGTGTCTAAGGTGCACAGAGAAATGCTGAGGAAGGCATGGCCATTTCCTCAAAAATCCACAGACCTGCTGGGATATGGGACGCAGAAGTGCAGACAGCCATAAGTTGACTAAAAGGAAGTGTTATTTTATGGATCTGGCCATATCCCTCAGTGTTTACCTCAGCGCACATAGCAGGAGTTCAATAAAGATTCTGATTTTATATCATCTTGATGGCAGATAGCGTGAGGATAAGAATACAATTAATGATCAGTGTGGGGTATTGTTCACTGACACAGATAGTTAGAAAAGGAGGGAATGATTGGGAAAGAAGCTAGAGAGCAAAGACAACTTTGCACCAAAAGCAGCCAAATATATTTTTATGAAGCAAAGATGCAGTTTGGTACATGTGTAGACAAATATTGAAGAAATGATATCAGTGTCATTAAAACTCACAGAGTTAAAGCCAAAGGGGAGCCCTTTAGGCTTAAAGTCCTATGTGGCAGGAAAGATGATTTGTACAATATCATAGAATATATTTGTCCACATAGAAATGGCACATTCACATTTTTTTGACAGGCAGAGTGGATAGTGAGAGAGTGAGACAGAAAGGTCTTCCTTTTGCCGTTGGTTCACCCTCCAATGGCCACTGCGGCTGGTGCACCACGCTGATCTGAAGGCAGGAGCCAGGTGCTTCCCCTGGTCTCCCATGGGGTGCAGGGCCCAAGCACTTGGGCCATCCTCCACTGCCTTCCCGGGCCACAGCAGAGAGCTGGCCTGGAAGAGGGGCAACCGGGACAGAATCCGGCGCCCCAACCAGGACTAGAACCCGGTGTGCTGGCGCTGCTAGGTGGAGGATTAGCCTATTGAGCTGCGGCACTGGCCAGACAGTTGGCTCTTTTAAGATGTTTCCATGAGACCAGTGCTGTGGTGCAGTGGGTTAAAGTCCTGGTCTGCAGTGCTAGCATCCCATATGGGCACCGGTTCGAGTCCCAGCTACTTCACTTCCAATCCAGCTCCCTACTAATCCACCTGGGAAAGCATAGAAGATGGCCCAAGTCCTTGGCCCCTGCACCCATGTGGGAGACTTGGAAAAACTCCTGGCTCTTGGCTCCTGGTTTTGGATCAGCTCAGCTCGCGCCATTGCAGCCATTTGGGGAGTGAACCAATGGATGGAAAACCTCTCTCTGTCTCTGTCTGTACCTCTCTCTGTAACTCTGTCTTTCAAGTAAACAAAATAAATATTAAAAAAAAAAAAGATGTTTCCACTATTCCATGCTGCTCTGTTGGGGAGTTCTGAGAAGTAAAGCTGAACAAGGTGGAATCTGATTAGAAGAGCATCATGGGGCTGGCGCTGTGGTGTAGTGGGTAAAGCTACCGCCTGCAGTGCAGGTATCCCATTTGGGCACCAGTTCAAGTCCCGGCTGCTCCACTTCTGATCCAGCTCTCTGCGATGGCCTGAGAAAGCAGTGGAACATAGCCCAAGTGCTTGGGCCCCTGCACCCATATGGGAGACCTGGAAGAAGCTCCTGGCTCCTGGTTTCAGATGGCCCAGCTCTGGCTGTTGCAGCCATTTGGGGAGTGAACCAGTCGATGGAAGACTTCTCTCTCTCTCTCTCTCTGTAACTCTGCCTTTCAAATAAATAAATCTTAAAAAAAAAAAAAAAGAAGAAGAAGAAGAAGAGCATCATATCCAGGAATGAGAAGGTCCGAGCATTGAATATCCAATATATGGTACCTGAGTAGAATAGTATCACAGAAGAGGCGCCAGCCAATAGTGGAAGCTAATTACAGGTTTACACAATGAAGAAAGAGTTCATTCCAATCCATAATCAGTGAACATCAGATAGTTTGGTGGATACCCAACATCGGAATGAAAATTTCGGCATTTGTAAATTTGAAGTAAATACTCAAGAAAACAAGGGCATACAGTGATGTGGCTCAGATATTTGATTGCAGCCACCTGTGCCAAATGGATAATGGGTATCTGCCAAACATGTGTGTCAGACACATATCCTAGCCACAGACATAAAGCAATGATGGATTTCCTTGAGTACACAGAGAGAAAATTCATATACTATGATTATGAATGGAGAAATGAAGACCCTCACAGAAAGTCTTATCAAATGTGACTCATAATTTTAAATGAAACCCCTTTTACATAAGGTACTAGCCTTATGATACAGCCTTCGACAGTGGCAGACAACATGCATTTCACAAGATTCACCTGATAGCAAAACTGTCATTTCAACCGTTTTTAGCCATTCTTGTATGATGTTTGGAATTACTGCAAGCTTTTCCTTGGTAATGGCCCCAGTGACTGAACAGATTTCCGCCACACCCCTCAACTGACGGAGAAGGCAGAGAATCATTAGGCCATCGGGGCTCAGGGTGTTTTAAGGTATGATTTACATACAGCGGAACACACTGCATCACGACAGCAGTTCGGTGAGACTTCATGACGGCTGATCACCTGAGCTGCCTACACCCCTAACAAAACAACAGTTCATCACCCCAGGAATTCTCTCATGCCTCCTCCTAGTCCATCTGCTCAGTCCAGGTAGTCAGCGCTCTAATTTCTGATCATTTGGAGAACAGAGGAGAAGATACACGAGAAAGCCAGAGGATGCCATGAAGCTGTCCTACCACCTTAGCTTATCTAACTCTGGACCTCTTGCTATGTAGGAGGAAAAACAAGAGCCCATTTGGTGAAACTGCTATGTTGGTGAGGTACCTTCCCCACCAAGGCTTCTGATACAGTGGGTTGGAGTAGTGACCAGAAATTTGCTTCTTCAGCATGAGCTCCAAATGATTCCCACGCCAGCAGTGTGAGGGTCAGCATAAACTGTGCTCTGGCAGGTGTAAATGGAAACCCGGTGTTAACCGATGAATGGAAAGGATCATTAACCTAGGGAAGGGTAGGAAGTCAAGTAATAAATTGCCAACGACACATAAAACGTTTATAAATGACTGCTCAAGCTTTACATTATGATCCACCAACATGATCCCTGATTTTTTTTTAATTAGGAGACATCGCAGACAAAACAGAGCTGATGGTAAAAGTAGACATGGCTCTCTGCACATTCTGTCACTTATCCCTGCTTTAGCTTTATTATGAAATCTCACTGAGTAGCTGAAGTGAGAGCGTGTTCTTGAGAATTACTGCTCTATAAAACGCTGACTTGGGTGGCCTACACCTGTGAGATCTATTAAGCACATGAGCGCAGCTGAAGCAGTTCTCCCTGTAAGAGGAAACACACTGAACCCCTACGAGGCCAAGACTTCTTTCCCGCTGGATCCTCTGCCCTAGGGAGATGTGGACAATCCAAACCTGCCATTCCACCCATTCTTCTTAGCTCCTTTTCACTTGGGAGTATGAACACCACATTTCAATATTCATGTCACTGAAGGCTGGAGCAACTAGTATCAGTACTATACTCCTGGGTGATATAAGGGATTTACAGTTACCTTCTGTCTACACCTTAGACTGAGGTTTGAGTACACTTCAGTGCTTCATTGCTCTATACTTATCATGCATACTTTACACATTTTTAAAGTAGGGGTAGGCATTGTCGCACAGTTAATTAAGCCAGCACTTGGGATCTAACATACCATATCATAGTACCAGGGACTGAGTCCACCTCTGCTTATAATCCAGCTTCCTGCTAGTATACATGGGGGGCAGCAGATGATGGACTAAAAACTGGAGTTCTTACCACCCACATGGGAGACCTCAGAAAGAGCTCCTACCTTCTGGCTTCAGCTTGGCCCAACCCTGGTTGCTGTGGGCATTTGGGGAGTCAACCAGCAGATGACAGATTCTCTCTCTCTCTCTCTCTCTCTCTCTCTCTCTCTCCCCTCCCTGCTTTTCAAGCAAATAAATAAAAAAAATCTTAAAAGAATGTTTAAGGGTAAGAATTCTCATGTTTCAGTAAAGTCCAATTTGAAATTCATTAGAGGAGCTTGTTTTATTATAAAGAAAATTAACAGTGTATTTACATCTTTCGTGTAACAACAGATTGTTGTACATTGGATTTGTTTGAACAAGAGGTGTGTCATGTAGAATTAGGGGCTGGTATTTTGGTGCAGCAGGTTAAGCCACCACCTGCCATGCCAGCATCCCATATGAGCACTGGTTCAAGTTCCTGCTGCTCCACTTGCAATTCAAGTCCCCTGCTAACATGCCTGGGAGAGCAGCAGAAGATGGCCCAAGTGTTTGGGCCCCTACACCCATGTGGAAGACCCAGATGAAGCTCCTGGCTCCTGGCTTTGGCCTGGTCCAGTCCTGGCTATTGCAGCCATTTGGGTGAGTTAAGCAGCAGATAGAAGATACTTCTCTGTGTCTCTCCCTCTCTATAACTCTGCCTTTCAAATAAATAACTAAGTCTTTTTAAAATGCAGAACTGAAACTAATGTAATTAAGATAATCTGAGGGAGAAAAACATTAGAATAAGTTGTGCACTGATAGTGACAAAGCCATTTGTATGTTTTAACTGGCATCCTTTTATCATATTTAGTGTTGACAGACCTATAATCAAATAATTGTAGTGCAGGGGACAGCATTGTGGTACAGCAGTTTAAGTCACCACCTGTAACACCAGCAACCCATATCAGAGCACTGGTTTGAGTCCTTGCTGCTCCATTTCTGACCCAGCTCCCTGCTAATGTGCCTGGAAAAGCAGCAGAAGATGGCTCAAGTACTTAAGGCCTTGCCACCCACAAGAGAGGCCCAGGTGGAGTTCCTGGCTTCTGTTTGGCCCAGCCCCAGCTGTATCAATCATTTGTAAAGTGAACGAGTGGATGGAAGATCTCTCTCTCTCTCTCTCCCCCTGCCTTTCAAATTAATAAATATCTTCTAAAAACCAAGTAATTGTAGTGGGGTAAATGCTATAAGGGGGTGGACAAGCTGTATCATGGACCCATAAATGAGCAAGATCTGAACTTCACTTGAGCAGAGGTTGAGCCAGGGGGTAGGCAGAATAGCCAGGGAAGACATCTGAGAGGAGGTGCTAGCATTGCAGCCAGGTTTTCAAGTGTGGTGAAAACAAGGTTGCATGAGCTCTCGGGATACATGAAGCAGCAGATGCATGATGTGAGGCAGGAAAGGGCTAGACAAGGTGCTGAGGTCATTTCCTACAGCTGAAGTACAAGCTGCCCTGGAGAGGGATCAGGTGTCAGGTAAGAGAGCCAGATAAGGCCCATAGCACAAAAAGCCCTGAACACAGTGTCGAGGAATTCATTCTACTGATGGTGAGCAGTCACTGAAAGATACTCAGCAGGAAAGTGAATGGAACCAACAAGCATGTTAGAAAGTTTGCTCTGGGGGCCGTGGCACTGTGGCGTAGCAGGTACAGCTGCCGCCTGTAGTGCAGGCATTCCAAATGGGCACCAGTTGTAGTACCGTCTGCTCCACTTCTGATCCAGCTCTCTGCTATGGCCTGGGAAAGCAGTAGAAGATGGCCCAAGTCCTTGGGCCCCTGCACCTCCATGGGAGACCTGGAAGAAGCTCCTGGCTCCTGGCTTCAGATCAGCGCATCCCCGGCCATTGCGGCCATCTGGAGAGTGAACCAGTGGATGGAAGACCTCTCTCTCTCTCTACCTCAGCTTCTCTAAATCTGCCTTTCAAATAAATAACTAAATTAAATCAAAAAAAAAAAAAGAAGGTTTACTCTCATTACACCTGGCGTTTGTGGTCATTTCCATAAAGCAGTCAGTGTAACCATGGTGAGGAATTTATTTCCTAAGATGCCACTCTAAGCTCTTTATATATTTTCCCTGAAACTTGCACGCAAAAATGAGGACAATATTCGATGTGGCTCTGACTTTCATTCTCCTGGCCTGTTATGACTCTTGGAGGCTTCTCTCTGAATCCAAGAAACCAATGTAAAAAAAAAAATAAGTTATAGAAGTTACCCACCTGTGGGGAGCAACTCGGACTAGACTGTTACTGGAATTAAGACTTATTCTATGCATCTGCTCTCCCACAATATGGCGCTGGGAGAGGAGGAAACAGCTTCTACACAGCTGCCTCCAGTTCAACCAATAAACAGCAGGACCTGCTCCTGATTGGAGGAGAGCAGCGTACTCGGCGTGTGGGTAGCAGAGTTGGGATTGGTGGAAGAGGACTATAAAGGAGGAGAGAGACAACATGCACCAGGAACATCTATCTGAAGGAACACCTGTGCAGCCCCCGAGAGAGCCGGCCAGCGGTGTGCCGCTCCCCCGCGGAAGTGGGGAAAGTGGTAGGGGGAACCGCCCTTCCACGGAGGTGGAAGGGACAGTAGCCAACCCGGGAAGAACCAGCAGCAAACCCGGGGAGGGCCGAGCAGACGAAAGAACAACGCAGGGTCTAGTGTCGTTCCTCCACGAAGAGGGGGAGCGACACCTACCCACTTCTTTTCATTCCCAAGGCCAGTTTTTAAATAAATCCATATAGAGAAAATGTTCCCATGGGAATCCACCATTGTGCTTTAAATGCAAATGACAACTCATGCTGAAAGAAATGAAAACTAAGCCCAAATCTCTAATCATTAAAAAATATATGACATTAATTTTATTGGTACATGTGGAGACAATTTAGAATCAAGACAAGTTATAAAAGGAATAGTTTGAAGGATAAGAATCCTGAATAATTATCCCATGTGTCCACAGGAACACAGATGATAGCTTATTTATCTGTATTTGTTTATCAGGTAAACATGCGTGTGTGCATGCATATGCATGTGTGTGTGTGTGTGTTTACTAAATGTAAGACCACAAATAGTGATAATCTCTAAACTGAACATATTTGAGATACAATCTAAAATTCAACCAGTAGCTTGTATCACCATTCATTTCTTTGTTAATTTGCTATGCACATAGTACAATGAGTAAGAGTGTAAGCTACAGAGCCAGACCAATTCCAGCTGGGTCTCATTTCAGTTCTGTGATCTTGGGAAAGTCCTTTAACTTAATCTTCATTTCCTCTACTAAAATGAAGATAATGGTCACACCTCCAATACAGGGTTATTATGAGGATTAAATAAGTTAACACAGGCAGCATACTTACACAATGCTTTCTTATACTAAACATTCTAAATGTATTTGTTCTTGTTCTTTTTTTTAAAAGATTTATTTACTTACTTATTTGAGAAACAGAAGAGACAGAAAGGTCTTCCATCGGCTGGTTCACTCCCCAAATGGCCACAACAGCCGGATCTGAAGCTGATCTGAAGCCAGGAGCCAGGAGGTTCCTCTGGATCTCCCACATGGGCACAGGGGCCAAGCATTTGGGCTGTCTGCTGCTTTCCCAGGCCACTAGCAGGAAGCTGGATGGAAAGTAGAGCAGCCTGGACTTGAATGCGAACATTTGGGATGCCAGTGCCACAGGTGAAGACTTAAACTACTACACCGTAGCACCAACCGCTGTTCTTATCCTTAGTACTTTCGCTTCTTATCTGGACCCTAGCACTGTCTACTTTTTTTCAGCCTAACACTATTTTAAAGTTATGGAGTAATTTCTGTCCATATAACTATTTTCACAATTTTTTCCACCCTGGCACACTTTTGGTGGGAATGTAAACTGGTGCAACCATGGTGGAAGATGGTATGGAGGTACCTCAGAAATCTGAATATAGACCTACCATATGATTCAGTCATCCCACTCCTGGGAATCTACCGAAACTGAAAGAAATCAGCATATGAAAGAGTTATCTGTACCCCCATCCATGTTCATTGCAGCACAATAACAATAGCTAAGATATGGAATCAACCCAGATGCCCATAACTGATGACTGGATAAAGACATTATGGTAGATATACACTATGGAGTACTAAGCTGTAAAACAATAAAATCCTGTCTTTTGCAGCAAGAGGGTCCCAACTGGAAGCCATTATACTTAGCGAAATAAGCCAGTCCCCAAAAGACAGACATCATACATTTTCCCTGACTGGAGGTAACTAATAGAGTACTTGAAGTATAATGTATTGGAGTGAAATAGACATTTTGAGGAGCAAAGATTGTTTATAGCCCTTATCTCTTTGGTTAAGGAACAGTGTTTTGTTTTCTGTTCATACTATTTGTAGAACTCTTTTACTTAGGGTAGGGTTAACTATACGATCATTAAGTGTACTGAAAACAGATCATTGTAAAAATTAAGAGTGAGAATCTGAGAGGGAGGGGGAGGAAGGGCTGGAGCGTGGGTGGGAGCGAGGGTAGAGGGGGAAGTGCCACTATGTTCCTAAAATGGTATAAAGGAAATATATGAAACTTGTATAACTTTAAAAATATATTCTAAAAAATAGAAAGCAAGATAATGCATTTTGATGAAAAAATAATAAATTTTGCCAGGATATATTCCAGAAAAAGACTAATTCTTGACCTTGCTTAATGATCTCTGATGTAATGAGTTTAGGATCAAAAATATTTCAAAATAGCTACAACATTCTTGAGTAACATTAAGGTAAGTTTTTCATGGAAATAGTCTTCTGTGGCCCTATGTTGATACATGTGAAAAGCAACATAGAATTCTTAGTCCAAGCATATATGCCCTACAGCGTATTAGGCAAATGAATAGACTACAATGCAGAATTTTCTTTTTCTGAATTTTTAGTTGTATAAGCTGTATTAAGGAAACTACCAAAAGTATGGAAAACATTTCCAGCTGCTTGAGTCATATTCTCTTTCTTTTGTAATTACTGGTGCTTGCATAGTCACATCTAGAACTGCTATTCCTTGTAACTAATATACATATATTAATGCCAAATATTTGAGTATTAAGTTATATTATATCTGGACTTCTGTTGCTCCCATTTTTACACCAGAAATCTAAAAATTTTTGAACATGCACACATCTATCATTCATATCAACAAGATCTCTAATCTATGTAATCACTTATTTTTAAACTGAGTGAGTATAGACATAAATTGTATTACTATCTCATGCTTATTATAAGCATACACGAAAATAGAACTTTAAAAAATATCTTTGAATAATTGCTAAAGGCCTGTATTATTTTCCTATCACTGCGTTAATAAATTCCCACAAACTGAGGAGCTTAAACTAAACGAATGTGTTCTCTTGCCGTTCTGGAGATGAGAAGCCTGAAATCGAGATGATTCTGAGGCGAGGCTGGGTTCCTTCTGCAGCCTTCAGAGGCTCACGCATTCCCTGCCCTGTGCAGATCCACCTGCACTCCTTGGCTGGTGGCCCGTTCCTTAGGCCATGCCAATCTCTTGCTACTCACTTTGACCCCCCTGCTGCCTTCTTATAAGAACCCTGTGATTACACTGGGCCTACAGGGATAATCCAGGATCATCTCCCCATCTCGAAATCCTTACTCATTTCCATGAAGTCCCTGTTCTGTCCAAGGCAATCTATTTGCAGGTTCCAGAAATGGACATCCTCGGGCAGCCATTATTCAGCCTACCATGACTAATGTCCCTGGCAACTCATCTGGGCCCCTCTGAGAGGTCAAGCCCAGCAAAGTTCAGCACAGAGGCCATTTGGACCATCCTGTTCTAGGCTAGCAAATCTTGACACATGCCAAGCGTCTTTTTATTTGTACAATTTATTGGTACTTAAAGAGGTGGACACTGGAAAGGCAAATCGATTTATCCTGTTCCCTCGGAATCCTTTCCTGATAGGCAGGTCTGTGTGGCCTGGGTCTCTGAACAGAACGACTCTGCTGCAATCCTCAAGGAACAGAGTTGAGAGATCTGATTCATCTCCTGCGAGGCAGTATCCTCCCTCACGTCCGGTGCTGCCCCCAGCCTCTCTCGGGATCTGACCCACATGCACGCGTCAACTCTCCCTGGGCGCCCCCTAGTGGTACGGTAGGTTCCAGCAGTACCAAAGTCCACTTGGTAGCCCCATCTTGCAGGCTTCCTGACCCCTGTGCTTAGGCCCACCTCGTTCCCTCTGCCAGAATCACTGTCCTGGAGATGGATCTTGTTATTAAACAACCTCCTCCCTTCCGAAATCCATCCTACCTCACTGCCCAAATGCAGCATCCCCTCAGCTTGTGGGTTCCCTGAATTACAGGTTCTCTTCTATAACATCAGCGATTCTGTAATTATCCTAGTGAGGATCAACTACATATTTATGGGACCCAGTGCGAAATACAAACAGGGGGTCCCTTGTTGATGAGTTAGTAAGAGGCCGCCGTTGGCGGAGTGCTGTGGCTGCGGCTGTGAGGTTCGGCCACAAAGGGTTTGCCGAACGCCTTAGTGCCCCTGGCCGACACTCTCGCCTCTGTCTGGTCCTGCTGCCTGAGTTCCCCAACCCACACATACAACCCGAGCCCCGCGCCCAGCACCTCTCGTGGTCAGGAACGTGGCGGGCAACACCACCTCTGAAGATGTGTGGCTCACGTTTGGTCGCTACAGTCGAGAGTTGATGTGTGTGATCCACTTGATCTCTGCACTCGCCATCCAGGATCTGCTCATGCTGTTCGAGGATGCTCGCGATGCTGAAGCAGCTCTACACAGTGACAGAAAAACGGATTGGAGGACGTCAGATTAAAGGACAATTTACACAGGCGGGGACTGGGGGTTACCACATCAGATGAAAGCCAAGGGAGAGGGGAATGCGAGCGGTTCTTCACGTTAAATGACGATCATGACAGGGCCGGCGCCACGGCTCACCAGGCTAATCCTCCACCTGCGGGGCCGGCCCCCAGGGTTCCAGTCCCGGTTGGGGTGCCGGATTCTGTCCCGGTTGCCCCTCTTCCAGGCCAGCTCTCTGCTGTGGCCCGGGAGTGCAGTGGAGGATGGCCCAGGTGCTTGGGCCCTGCACCCCATGGGAGACCAGGAGAAGCACCTGGCTCCTGCCTTCGGATCAGCGCGGTGCGCCGGCTGCGGCACACTGGCCACAGCGGCCATTAGAGGGTGAACCAACGGTAAAGGAAGACCTTTCCCTTTGACTCTCTCTCTCACTGTCCACTCTGCCTGTAAAAAAAAATTTTAAAAATGATGATCATGACAGATACAGACATTCTAGAGGCCAAGGTTATGAAAGAAGGCCACCAAGAAGATGGTCTTTTAATTACAACTACAGATCTTAAAGTCCTAGAAACAGTAGCTCAACTGCAAGACCTCGCTGGGGCAGAAGCAATTCCAACAACGACAGATCAATCTGCAGCTGGAATCCCCGGTACAGCCATGCCCTGCTACAGTTCCAGAAAGATCTGAAAGTGGAAAAAGAATCCAAGAAGAGCAGCTGGAACCACCAACGGGTGGGTGGAACGTGCTGCATTCTGAGTACTGTACGACTGTCTTGACTCTGGGCTGAAAAGATAAAAGAATTAAATTACCAAAACCACATGGAATAATTGAGGTCCCTTCAAGTCTGATGAAAGTACCCATTTTAAGACAAAGAAGAGGAAGTTCAACTTTGTACTTGTTGGAAACTAATCATTAAATATGAGCAGGTTTATACTGATTCATGGCTACAGGTCCATAATAAATGATTGGTAACTTGGATGTCTTAATATCAAGGAAGACAGCCGGTGCTGCGGCTCACTAGGCTAATCCTCTGCCTTGCGGCGCCAGCACACCGGGTTCTAATCCCGGTTGGGGCACCGGATTCTGTCCTGGTTGCCCCTCTTCCAGGCCAGCTCTCTGCTGTGGCCAGGGAGTGCAGTGGAGGATGGCCCAAGTCCTTGGGCCCTGCACCCCATGGGAGACCAGGAGAAGTACCTGGCTCCTGCCATCCGATCAGCGCGGTGCGCCAGCTGCAGCACGCCAGCCGTGGCGGCCATTGGAGGGTTAACCAACGGCAAAAGGAAGACCTTTCTGTCTCTCTCTCTCTCTCTCACTGTCCACTCTGCCTGTCAAAAAAAATTTTTAAAAATTAAAAAAAAATATCAAGGAAGACAGCCACAGCCTCCTAGAGTGCCTCTTGGTCTCTCAAACTGAATCAGGTGGGAAAAGGTGTGGCCCAAATAAATTTTTTCTGGATTCTCCTTAAAATTCCATTTTTGCCACTATTGGCAAACCTTTCCTTTGTTTACTTTGTGCCAGTGTTTTCTGCTTAATCATTTGCTTTGGTGAGATCTGAGTATATTTGCTTAAATGCCAGATAGTTGCCTCCTTTAACCACTTTCTCCTACATAGATTCCAGTCATACTTGACATCCGGCTGACAGGGCATCTCTTCTCACCACTTTCCTAGTCAGTATGTTCAGTGACTAATTTGTTGCACTTGGAAGAGTGGACAAAACACTGAACGAGATAATTGGATAGAAAAACAGATAGTTCCCATATTCAATAAATGTCTACTGATTACAACCTAGTGGGTCATGATGTTTGGCCTTATTGTTTTATCTGAGGTGTACTGTTTGTGACTTTTACACCATTCACAGCCTCACATAATCATAAAACCTGATATACTATCAAAGATAAGTAATTTTGAGGCGATTTGCCTTTTAAAAAAGGATCCAGTATTTGTACCCCATTAATACAAATAATGAAGAAATTTTTTGTTTCAATCTATAATAAATTGATTTATCGTGCCATTACTGTAATATACTAGTCATATTAAATTGTTAACTCTGCCTCATCAAATACATATTAGGAAATAATCCCACAAATAAGTGTTTAACTTTGCACCAGAGATAAAGGAGCCTCTGGGTGCTATAATTAGCGTATTCTGAGGCAGAGAGAGAGCTGTTATCCCAGCTGATTTAGTATGTTCTGTAATGAGAAAATGTTCACCAAATTATATTTTTTAATGATTTACATGTACATTTTATGGGGGATATGTTCTATGAATAGTGAATAAATAACTTTTATAGGATCAAAAAAGTTATTAAGACTTTCAAGACAGCAACAGCAGAGTTCTAAACCAAGCACAGGGCCCTTGCAAGCCCCAAGAGCTGCAACCACAGAGGTCCCGTGCCCAGCCGTGTCTGCTCCACACAGGACAGAAACTGCACCTGGAATCCACGTGCTATCCAGGTCTAGGTCACTGCCCACAGACACAGGCACACAAAAATGACAGCTGGATGGATACACAAACAAATGAATGCGCAATGTTGAAGACAGTTTTTATTCTGCAGGATTTTATGTATTCCTAAGGCTGCCATAGCAAATTGTCATAGACTGGGGGGCTCTAAACAACAGAAAACTGTTTTCTCGAGGCCTGTAAATTAGAAGTTCAAAATCAAGGCATTAGCAAGGCCATGCTCCACCTGAAGGCTCCAGGGAAGAATGCTTCCTTGGTTCTTCCCGGCTCCTGGTGGTTCTGGTCATTCTGGAGTTTCCTTAGCTTGTGGATGCAATACCACCCTCTGACATCATCGCCACATGGACTTCTCTCGTGTGTATCTTTGTGCCACCCCTTTTCTTCTCCTGAGAACACCAGTCATCAGATTCAGTGCCCACCCTAATCCAGCATGACCTCATCTTAACTAATTACACCGCAAAGACCTTACTTCCAAACAGGGTCGAATTCTGGGATTCCAGCACTATTCAACTCACTGTGTCTGTTTACACAGATACACAAAACTCTCAAGAGTATTTTTTTCAATTGATACATTTTGTACAATTCATATAAATTATAACAATTTTATTTGCCAAGGGAACCTCAAAGGATAAAACCACACAAGTTGTAGCAAGGCATGTATAATAAATAAAATGTAACCTGGGAACTAAACATTTTGGATGTGGTCATGAAACCGATATCAATTATAGCTGAAGCATCCTATAAATGTACAGAACAATGCAGCAACAACAAAGTAGGACTGGGACAAGGCTCAACATTCCAGCAGGAAAAAAGGTGGGATCCAGGGACTGCTAAGTTTTCTACCTGCCCTGTGAAGGTATAAAAGACTGCGACCAAGTGGGTTGTAGCTTCCTAGGGTAGGAGCCCAGCACCAAAGGTTCGCCTCCTCTGAGGGAGAGAGGAGAAAGTTTAGGTGGTTAGCATGCCCTTGAGGCTCAGTAGTTTGCATAAATTGTCTATTAATGGTTAGGAACAAAGTGTCTCTTTGCACATGTTAAGTAGATAAAAATCTGGGAAAGGCTCCTAGGGGGGATTTAATAAAAATAAACTGTATTTAGATGTTGGTTGCTATGCTCCCATTGGTTAAACAATTGTTTAAACCATCACAGAAGCATGGAGAGTTTAAGGCTTGTGTATTTCCCTTGTTAAAAAGAAACTATATGATCATTAAGTATGCTGAAAACAGACCATGGTAAAGGTTGAGTGGGACTCTGAGAGGGAGGGCAAGGAGGGGTTGGCGGGGGAGGGGGCGAGAGGAAGGGAGAAATCCCACTACGTTCCTAAATCTGTATATATGAGATATATGAAATTTGATAACAAATAAAAGGACAGAGGGAGGAAGAGAGGGAGGAAGGAAGATAGGAAAGGAAGGAAGGGAGGGGAAGGAAGGAGGGAGGGAGGGAGGGAAGAAGGGCCTGCAGTGTGGCTCAGTGGTTAAGATGCTACTTGCAGCACTGATACCCCGTATTGGAGTGCTGGTGCAAGTCCTGGCTTCTCTTTTCCAATCCATCTCCCTGCTAGTGCACCTAGGAAGGCAGCAGATGACGGTGCACGCACTTATGCCTCTGTCACCTATATGGGAGACTTGGAGGGAGTTCCAAACTCCTGGCTTCTGCCTGGCCCAACCAAATGTGGCCATTTGGGAAGTGAACTAGTGGATGGAGGATCTCTCTCTCTGTGTCTCTCCATGCTTCATATACAGTATCTTCTTTAACTCTGCTATGGTAGGTGCAATTTTTATCAGCAGTATAAAGATAAAACTGAACATAGAGAGCATAAGTGACTTGTTCCGGCTAATACAACAGAAAGTAATGAAGAAGAAATGGAACCCATGTCCATGACTGCCTTGCACATCTCTGCATCACCATAGCCTGACACAGAGCTTGGTGTTCAGTATTGCAGGTCTGAATTCACTCAGGTGTGTCTGGTGCCAAGACCATGTGCCATGATGCCCGTCCATCCAGATGTGGCAAGGAAAGGATACAGACTCACTCGGGGAGTCATGGCTGTTTGACTCACCTAACTTTTTCTCCTCAGTTTCCCTTCCCCCTACAGCTCACGCTCAGCTTGGCATCTTTCATATTTCACAGGAGAAGGAGAGGGAAAGCTGCAGGCCCCTCTATGTGCAGGAGAAACATGATTAAGGCAAAATTCAAGGGGGGCTATTTCTGGAGAGAGAGCTATATATAAGCCAGGCTTCTCCATGAGGAAATGATAGCAGAAAATAGCATCTACTAAGAGTCATGCTCAAACCTTTATTTAAGGCTCACAGCAACCTTCTGTGTTTAGGGCTCACGATATAACCATCACTGTACAGGTGCGAAAATAATGAGGAGAGGCTGAGTGACCTCCCCAAGGTTGATGTGACACAGGTGCCATCACAGGATAGCTGGCACAGGTGGGGTTCAGACTCAGGAAGTCCCTCCACTTTTGGCCATTATTCTAGAATCTGGAAGGAATGAACTGTGATGCTTAATTAACCTGGTCTTTTGTGGTGGGCACGTGGCACAGAGGATGACACTGCTTGGGGTACCTGCACCCCACACCAGAGTGCCTGGGTTTGAGTCTTAGCTCTGCTCCTTATTTCAGCTTCCTACTAATGAGCACCCCGGGAGGGGGCAGGTGAGAGAACAAGTAGTTGGATCCCTGCCAGCCATGTGGGAGGTCCAGATTGAGTTCTTGGTTCCTGGTTTCAGCCTGGCCCAGTGCTGGCTGTTACTGGCATTTGGGAAGTGAACCCAATAAGTGGGAAATCAATCTTCTCTCTCTCTTGTTAAGTCAACAACAGGAGTCACTGTGCACTTACTCCTCATGTAGGATCTCTGTCCTTAATGTGCTGTACATTGTGATTTAATGCTATAACTAGTACTCAAACAGTATTTTTCACTTTGTGTTTCTATGTGGGTGCAAACTGTTGAAATCTTTACTTAATATATGCTAAACTGATTTTCTGTATATAAAGAGAATTGAAAATGAATCTTGATGTGAATGGAAGAGGGGAGGGAGAGGGAAAGGGGAGGGTTGTGGGTGGGAGGGAAGTTATGGGGGCGGGGGAAGCCATTGTAATCCATAAGCTGTACTTTGGAAATTTATATTCATTAAATAAAAGTTAAAAAAAATCTATCTCTCTCTCTCTAAATAGATAGAATTTTTAAAAAGTCTAGCCTTGTGGAACAGCCATACTAAAATATACTCAGTGAAAATTCAATTGCAAAAGAGAAAAATTTCTGCTTACTATTTTCCTAAATGGCTGGGATAAAATATGTTCATATTATTGCCAAGAAAAAACCTTAGAGTCTAGAGATTTGCTTAGAATGCACTGCTGTTTCTTTGTCATTGCCAGGATAAGTGCATTTTAATCTAATGGACACGAACTGAAAAGTATATGCTCTCTCAGGGTTTGGCCCATCCGTTTTCCAAAATCCATCTTCTGCATCTGTCCACTGGGGTTTTTCTCTCCGTGAGACCAGTCTGTTCACCACCTCCACAACAGCAGCCTCCGGGCCGTCTTGCACACCAGTTACCTGCTCTTATTTGTTTCTCTTTAACTTCTCTAGAGCCTTCAATAGCGTAAGGTAAATTTTAGGTTGCCTAAGAAGGAATTAGTTAAACAGAGATCATTGGGTCCTACCCTCAGCTATTTAGATACAAATTTGCCTAATCTTGAGTGATTCTAGGGTCTTACCTTTCAAACCTGCTCCCCCAGATCATTCTGATGCTAAGATTAAGTGTGTGTGTATGCGTGTGTGTGTGTGTGTGTCTGTGTGTGACTGAAGGAAATTGCTTTGGCGACTGCAATTTAGAAGATGGTTGGAAACCACAGAACCTCCAGAGTAGAAAGGGCATTTGAAGCCATCCAGGTCTACATTATTAATTTTCTTCTAAGGAGACTGGGGCCCAGAGAATCCAGCTCCTCACTGTTTATTTACTCATCTAGAAATTGAGGCCCAGATTATTTAAGTGATAAGCCCAGGGTCACACTGTATTCACTGGAAGAGCTGGTATGTCCACAATCGAGCTGTCTTTCCCTGGCACCAGATTTGCCCTAGATGCCACCTCCCTAAGCCCTGAACCTGTTCTCACAATACAGATCCTCAGCCTCGGGCATGTGAGGATGCCCATGGGGCCGGGACAGATCCACACAAGAGCTGTGTGATCTTGCATGAGCAATGAGGTCTCTTTAGGCCTTAGTGCCATTGTCAATGGGGCAATCCACAAGGCTGCCATGCAAATTAAGTGGAATTTGTAAGGTTTTCATAGAACAGGGCCTGAGAAACATATTTTGAAATATGGATACACATGGTATGTTCTCCCAGTTTTTCCTTTATTCCCCAATTCAAGTTTCTGGTTTGCCTACCACTCATCGCCCCAAGAGGGAAGTAACAGGAAAGAGCATAAATTGTCTCCCCATCTTCCTGAAAGCATCCCCCCCCCCCCCAGAAAAGAAACCTGCCCTTCAAGGTCAAGGAGGAATCACAGGCACAACTTAAAAGATTTGGCAAGAAGCCTGGGACAAAAGCAAGAGAGATGCATTCTGCTTGGATGGAGATTTGAGACAGGAGAAAGGAGACAGGAGGGAGGTCGGTCATTCTGGAGTGAAGAATGAAGCAGATCTGACATCTCAGAATAGCCCTGGGCTTGGCAAGATGGGAAATCAGGGCGACTCCTCAAAAGGTCCCTGTCCCATGTGTGGTAGGGAAGCCCAGGAAGCTCCCAGATACAGACAATGGGATTCACAGCTGGAAAGGACCCTCATCCCTCCACTCTGTCATCATCACAATCTTCATATCGTGGCAGAATCCCAGGTATCAGGAGGGTCTCAAATCATGGCCCAGTGCTGGCATCGGGGGTGTAGTGGTGAGGGGAGCTGCCTTCAATCCAAAGCCCAACCCTCAGTGGGCGAAAGCCAGGAAGGAGGTCACTTTTATATCAGCTTGGAGGAAGGGTGTGCTGAGGTGAAATATTAAGTTCAATCACAGAAGATAAAGCAATGACTACTTTATTATTTATTATCTCTATCCAAATGGAGTGGATAGGTATCCAGGGGCAAACTCTACCTGTGGCCTGTACCTGATAGTGCATTGCAGTGGGGGCCTGGAGCTGAAGGAGAAGAGAAATCAGGTAAATAAGACCCGCCAGGGAATTCTCTGAACAGCCAGGTTCTGTGGGATTTGGGACTTAAAATCTGTGGCCCCTGGCCCCCTTTAAGAAAAGAACGAAAAGTTAAAAATGCAAAATTAGAACCAAAATGAATGTTTACTTAAGCCTAAGAAAATAAGGGCTGACACTGTGGCTTGGTGGGTAAAGCTGATGCTGGCATCCCATATGGGAGCTGGGTCGAGTCCAGCTGCTCTATTTCCAATCCAGCTCCCTACTAATGTGTCTGGGAAAGCAGCAGAAAATTGCCCACGTACTTGGGGCCCTGCACCCACGTGGGAGACCTGGAAGAAGCTTGGGCTCCAGCTTCAGCCTGGCCCAGCCTCGGCTAATGCGGCCATTTGGAGAGTGAACCAGAGGATGGAAGATCTTTCTCTATCTCTGTCTCTTTCTGTCTCTGTCTTTGTCTCCTCTCCCCATAACTCTTTCAAAATAAATAAAAATGAAACTCAAAAAAAGAATGCACTATCTCTTTTTAAAAAGAATAAGAAAATAAATTCTAATATATGAGTATTGTTAATTTTAAGAGACTTATAAATTTCACAAATATTTCAAAATTCAGAAAAACAATACCATTATTATATGTGAAAATACTTTTTAAAAAATATTTATTTATTTGAAAGCAGTTACAGAGAGAGGTCTTCCATCCACTGGTTCACTTCCCAAATGGTTGCAATGACCGGAGCTGAGCTGATCCAAAGGCAGGAGCCAGGAGCTTCTTCCGGGTCTCCCACATGGGTGCAGGGGCTTAAGGGCCACCTTTCACTGCTTTTCCAGGCCATAGCAGAGAGCTAGATAGGAAGAAGAGCAGCCAGGACTTGAACCGGTGCCAATATGGGATACCGGCACTGCAAGAGGTGGCCTTACCTGCTATGCCACAGCACCAGGCCCCAGTGAAAATACTTTTTCAATGTGATTTTTTTTCTTAATTTTTAGCTTCACAGTCAATGATCCTTTGCACATATGACAACAATTATTTTAAGTATCATTTTCCACAGAGGGAGCAGAAATATGATTCAGTCTTTCCTCTAACATGGTTGGCAGAAGTTTGTTTTTCATTATCAATGGTTGGATGCATAAAAAATGCAATGTCACCACAGACATATTGCCATTTTTAGTACTGTTGCTAGTTTATGGCTTACAAACACAAAAATTCTGGTAAACTGAATTCTAAGCATCCAATAGCCAGGTCGTCCTTCCTTTTTGCTATTGTCCTTGCTATTACTTGGTTGTATGGTCTTGTTCTAAAGCAAGTTTCTCACTACGAGATATTTATTTGTGCATTTCCCCTGTTCTATCAATATGAGATCTAACTGAGAAAAGTTGGACACCCCTGAGGTTGGACAATGTATAGTTTATTCAGTAAGATGTGGACTCTACAAGATAGGCCTGCAGTGAGATTCTAAGGCTTTGATGTTCCATCCAGGTGGCTGAATGGGTGCTGTGGGTTTTGAATTGGAAGACTCTGACAGTGAGTTGAACTTGCAATGGATGTCATTTTCCTCTAAGCAGTCTTCTCATAAAATTTTTAAATGCATGGTATGTTTATAATTATCTATGCTGCATTATTGACAGGTGAGTATTTCTATTTTAACCAACAACTATCAAGAACTGAATCTTCCTTCTGAAATTGTACTCGTCTGAAGCTTTAAAGAAGTTTCTGTGCACCAGTTATTGATCTCTGTACTTTAGCAACCTGGTTTCTCCTGTATGACTCACATCCTTCCAGTGCCCTGCACCTTAGAACATGTGCACATCATCTGATCCTGCCCTTTCTTGCCAAGATGCCAGAGTCAGCAATGAGCAGCGGGACTCTTGCTGGAAGTTATTCTAAACCTGAATGGCTAGCAAGAACTTAACTACACATGGAAGTGACTGAAATCATGTGGATGCAGCCCATGAAGCCAAAATTAAATGCATTTTCATCTTATAATACAAACACAACCTACTGGGTCTCCATAATGCCTGGGATCACTCCAGCGACATCCTACCTGACGGGAAATATGCCAAAGGGGAAGACGGAATGGAGCGACATGGTGAACTCAACAACCTTTGGGTACAGCATCTTACTTTTGCAAACCTTACAAAAGAATGTGACCTTGTGCAGACATTGTGAAGGATCCCACCTCAGGACTTGGAAGGGGTCTGGGCAAGCAAGCTGAGAACAGGAAAGCAGGCTGCGCATGCTCAAACAACAGGAAGAAACACTCGCTGATGCTATCGCTGGTGGGTCCTTGAGTGAGCTGTGCCGCTACACCATCATTCAGTTCGGTGAGATTGTTACCCACCTGGTGACCTTAAATCTGAGACGTCACAGATTGATGAATGGTTACTTATCGTGCACCTCATCACCCGGGCACTGCCGTGGGGGTCAAGGCAGAACAAAAGCCATGGATCTTCATTCTTGACATGCATCTCTGTACTTTGGCATCTGCCCCCATCTGTGAGCAATGAACAGAGATTTTAGTGGCACACTAAGAAAGAGGCATTGTCGCTCCCCGTCTTCGTGGAGGAACGACACAGGACCCTGTGTTGTTCTTTCGTCTGCTCGGCCCTCCCCGGGTTTGCTGCTGGTTCTTCCCGGGTTGGCTACCATCCCTTCCACCTCCGTGGAAGGCGGTTCCCCTTGGCCACTTTCCCCACTTCCGCGGGGGAGCGGCACACCGCTGGCCGGCTCTCTCGGGGGCTGCACAGGTGTTCCTTCAGATAGATGTTCCCCTTAGATGTTCCTGGTGCATGTTGTCTCTCTCCTCCTTTATAGTCCTCTTCCGCCAATCCCAACTCTGCTACCCACACGCCGAGTACGCTGCTCTCCTCCAATCAGGAGCAGGATCAGCTCCTGGAGGTCATCACTCAAGTTGGCAAGAGGCAGCTGCGTAGAAGCTGTTTTCTCCTCTCCCAGCGCCATATTGTGGGAGAGCAGATGCATAGAATAAGTCTTAATTCCAGTAACTTAGTCTAGTCCGAGTTGCTCCCAGTTGCTCCCCACAAGGCATGATTTCCTTTAGATTTGAGGGTGTGATAGGGGATGGGAGAGAATGATTGGGGAAGGGGGAAGGAGGAAGGAGATGATGCTCGAGTTGAGTTCAAAGGTGAAGGAAGTCTAGGTGCAGACAAGGAGTAGGAGTGCCCTCATCCTTCTCTCCGGGCTGAGAGAGGTCATCTTTTCTCAATGGTTTCCCAAAGCCTAGGGTGAATGGATTGACCAGGCAGGTGAGAAGCATTCAGTGTGCAGCAGGAAGATGGGGAGAATGCTCACAGAAATCTCACCACAGCCAGAGGAGGTGTGAAGCCTCTAAAGATTTCACTGGGAGTACACCAGCCCAGTAGCCCATTAAGGTTCCCCCCAGTAATACAAACACAACATCTGGTAATACAAGTGCATCTGTGCCTTGAGTCCACTGTACTCACTGTCCCAGGCTATTAGCCGGCATCATCCAAAGAGCTTCCAAACCTATGTACCTATACATTTTATTTACAAATTGTGGCAAAGAGTTCTAGTGATAACATATTTTGTACTTCCTTACATATATGCAGACATTGGAATCAAAGCTGTGACATCCCCAAAATATACAGAGGAAGAAAAATTAACCTTTCCCTTCTTCACCCATAGGGACCATACACAGCATTATTTTGGAGTCACCTAGAAACCTGTGTTCCTAAATTGTGTTGAAAGTAGCAGTAGTGGTTAAAAATGAAGACTCAGAAGGCAGCCAATCTGGATGTGACTCCTGGCTCTACTACTTCCGAGCTGGCTGACAGCCTCTCGGGGACTTCAATGTCCTTTTCTCTAACACAGGGTTCACTGGATGGCCACATTCCTTGCAGCACTCTTCATAGTCAAGAAGTAGAAGCAAAACTAGCATCCATCACTGGAGAAAAACATGATATACACATACAATGAATATTACTGTTCAGTCTTTAAAAGAAGGAAATACTGTCTTATGCCACAACATGGATGAACCTTGAGAACATTATGCCAAGCAAAACAAGCCAGTCACAAAAAGACACTGTGTAAGTTACTTAGAAGGAATCCACAGTAGTGAAACTCCCAGAAACACAAAATAGAGTCACAGATGCCAGGGACAACGAAGGCACTTGTATTATCAGGTGCTGAGTCTGCATTACCAGAGTGTTAATGGGCTACCAGGCTGGTGACACTCCCAAAGGAAATGTTTAAAGATTTAGAGAAGGAGTAAAAGGGGAGTCACTAAATACTGAGTGCAGAATTTCAATTTTGCAAAATGAAAAGTTCTGGAGATCTCGAGATTGTTGCACAACAATATGAATATATTAACACTACTAAACTGTTCACTTAAACATGGTTGAAGATAAATTTTATATCTTGTGATCTTTACCACAATTAAAAGCAATTTTGTAAAAGGACTAATAGTAGGGGCTGGCATTGCAGTATAGTGGGTTAAGCTGCCACCTGTGATGTCAGTATCCCATATGGGCACCAGTTCATGCCCTGGTTGCTCCACTTCTGATCTTGCTCCCTGCTAATGTTACTATGAGACCTGGAAGAAGTTCCTAGCTCCTGGCTTTGACCCGGCCTAGTGCTGGCTATTGTAGCCATCTGAGCAGTGAACCAGCAGATGGAAGATCTTGATTCATTCTCTCTCTCTCTCTCTCTCTCTCTCTCTCTCCCCCATCTCTCTAACTCTGCCTTTCAAATAAATAAATAAATCTTTTTTTAAAAAAAGGAGTAATAATAGCACATATTTCACAGAAATTTTGGAAATTTGGTATAAAGCATTGAAATTGGTGCCTAGTACACTGTGAATAACTTGCTAAATGTTGTTTTCCTCAGTTCCACTATTTAAAATAATTTAAAACCTTTATTAGCTTATTTTTGTAAGTTGTCCTAAAAAAGAGAGAAAGAAACACAGATGAGAGAGAAAAAGGACTTCCTATAGTCAGTGATCTTCAATCTGAATCAGAATTTTCAGAAATACTCATATGTAAGACTTCCTGGGTGAAGGTGAAGGCAACAAGAGTCAGCTCAACTGGTTTTTTTTTTTTTTTTTTTTTGGCTCAACTACATTATTAAAACTTTTATAGATGATGATCTTTGCTCTAACTCCCTCTCCAGAGCCAGGTGCTTTGTCACAGCCTAGAGACAGGCCACTTAACAAGTAATGTCCACTCCCTCTTCTTTATGTTTCCTCAATTACAGGGCCAAAAACTAAAACCAACGTATTTTCCAGCCTCCCCGGCAGTCAGGACTGCCATGAGAACATGCTTTGTCCCACAGTGGTAGGCAAAGTCCATGGGACAGACACTTCCTGCTTCTTTCTGTTCTCAGGTGCCAAGGAAGCCTCAGAGGCACAGTGGCCATCTTGAAGTGACACATGTAAGAGGGTCCCAGGGAGGTTAGGAGGAGCTTGGCTTACTGAGGATTTCCCTGGGCATCCACACTAACCTGAACCTCTTTTTATGTTAGGAGAACCTACCTCTCTTGGGTATGCTGCTTAGCTTTCTCCTTTTTGTCTGTGGACTGCACCAAGGAAGACATTGTGAAAGCGTCTATTCTCACTGCTGTCATGTGTCAGTCAGTCTCCTAAAGAGCCCAGACAGCTGAAGAAGTTCTTCACGAGAGAGCTGAGGTTTGACTGACAAGAGTCTGAGTGTTCTCCATTCTGACTGATGGAGAGGACTCATGGACTGTATGGTAATGGGAATCCAAACTTCAAGTGTTCCAGGGGCTTTCCCTTGAGGGGAGGTGGACACTGCCATGAATGTAAGGATGGAGGGCTGTGGAGCCAAGGAGGGCTCTCTCAAGTGACAATTCCCAAAGACCAGGTATCCACTTAACTGTGAAAGTATCTTTGTTGAGGCCTACACTGTAGCCTAGCAGGTAAAGCCGCCACCTGCAGTGCTGGCATCCCATATAGGCACCAGTTCAAGACCCAGCTGTTCCACTTCTGATCCAGCTCTCTGCTATGGCCTGGGAAAGCAGTGGAAGATAGCCCAAGTCCTTGGGCTCCTGCACCCACATGAGAGACCCAGAAGAAGCTTCTGGTTCCTGGTTCCTGGCTTCAGATTGGCACAACTCCAGCCGTTTCAGCCAATTGGGGAGTTTGGGGAGTGAATCAGCAGATGGAAAACCTCTCTCTCTCTCTCTCTCTCTCTCTCTCTCTCTGCCTCTCTGTCTTTCAAATAAATAAATCTTCAAAAAAAAAAAAAAAGAAAGTTTCTTTGTTGGTGACATTAAAGAAGATACTGAAGAATGCCTAAGAGATAATTTTAAACAGCATGGGAAAACTGAAGTGTCTGAAATCATGACTTACCAAGCCAGTGGCAAAAAGAAGAGCTTGTTTTTTACCGTCTTGGACACTAAGATTCTGTGGCTAAGATCGTCATTCAGAAACACCATCTGTGAACGGCCACGACTGTGAGGTCAGGAAAGTTCTGTCAGAGCCTGAGGTGGCCAGTCCTTCGTCCAGCCAAGCACGCCAGAGTGGTTCTGGATACTTCGGTGGCAGGTGTGGAAGTGGTTTTGGTGGGAACGATCCTTTGATTTTGGAGGAAACTTCAGTGGTCATGGTGGTTTTGGTGGCAGTCCTGGTAGTGGTGGATATGGTGGCAGTGGGGATGACCACAACGGATATGGTAAAGATAGAAGCAGTTGTGGAGGGAATGAAAGCTACCGTGGGCCGGTGCCGTGGCTCACTAGGCTAATCCTCTGCCTTGCGGCGCCGGCACACCGGGTTATAGTCCCAGTCGGGGTGCCGGATTCTGTCCCGGTTGCCCCTCTTCCAGGCCAGGGAGTGCAGTGGAGGATGGCCCAAGTGCTTGGGTCCTGCACCCCATGGGAGACCAGGATAAGTACCTGGCTCCTGCCACCGGATCAGCGCGGTGCGCCGGCCGCAGCGCGCCGGCCACGGTGGCCATTGGAGGGTGAACCAACAGCAAAAAGGAAGACCTTTCTCTCTGTCTCTCTCTCTCTCTCTCTCACTGTCCACTCTGCCTGTCAAAAAAATAAAAAAAATAAAAAAGAAAGAAAGCTAACGTGATTTCAGCAGTTAAGTCTTCAAATTTTGGACCTATGAAAGGAGGCAACTTTGACAACAGAAGCTCTGTCCAGTTGGTGGTAGAGACCAACACTTGGCCATACCACAAACCAAGGTGGCGATGGCAGTTCCGCAGCAGAAGCTATGGCAGTGACAAAAGGTTTTGATAACCACCAGGAAACAAATCTTAGCAAAAGAGAGCAGCCAAAGAAGTGACAGAGAAGCTACAAGTTGCAATGTATTTGTGAACTAAGCAAAACATGGTGGTGGCAGAACCTAGCTGCCACAGAGAAAGACATGTTTTAGGTAATACTCATGTTTTTGGCAAAACAAAATGAAAGAAAACCCTTGAGGGCTGTATTTGTGACTAACTGTGTAACAGGTTATTTTAGTTTCTCTTCCGTGGAAAGCATAAAGCGTTCCAACCAACTACAGTTTTTAATGTAGTTTGGTGGGGTTTTTTTGCACCCATGTTTATTGATTTCTAAATGTAATAGTCTGATCATGATGCGAGCAGTAAACATTTGGTTCACTTTCAAAGCTTTGAGTAGACAAGTGGCTAGCCTAACTGCTTGCAGACGTGTGAAAGTGACATGTAGCTAGCTAGCATCACAGCTACGTTATATGCACCGGGAAAGTTCATAGGCAAACAGATGTTGGGAGTGGCCAAAACAGCTGAAGCAAGTGCCAGGAAGATTGTAAAACTCCAGAGTCAGCTAATGAGGAACCCGGGGAGGCACCTGCATAACAGGGAATAAATCGCTTGTTGAAACCACACTAGGTGTGCTGGCCCACCAGCCACCAGATCCTGCAAGATCCTTAGTAAAGTCTCACTTTTGCTGCTCTTCCTAAGTCTGAATCCATTCTGTAAGTGGACTGGTGGGGTTATATGTCACAATGACACTGAATAAAGGTCAAGAAAAAAGAAAAATATGTCTTCTGACCCACTGTAGAGTTTCTTGGAGTTTCTATTATTTGCTGCCTAACACACTCACACATGTGAACTATCCCTATTATCAGTAAGGGAGGACTGACGGAGATGAGTGAAGAAATGCCCTGCGAGTCCTGGCATCAGAAACTCAAACCTCTGTACTTAGAGGCTTCAGCAACCTTACTGCTGGTTGCTGCTGCCATCTAGTGGCAGTGTTTTAGAACCAAGTCTTTCAGGCCGGCGCCGCGGCTCACTAGGCTAATCCTCCGCCTAGTGGTGCAGGCACACCGGGTTCCAGTCCCGGTCGGGGCGCGGGATTCTGTCCCGGTTGCCCCTCTTCCAGGCCAGCCCTCTGCTGTGACCAGGGAGTGCAGTGGAGGATGGCCCAGGTACTTGGGCCCTGCACCCCATGGGAGACCAGGAAAAGCACCTGGCTCCTGGCTCCTGCCATCGGATCAGCGCGGTGCGGCGGCCATTGGAGGGTGAACCAACGGCAAAGGAAGACCTTTCTCTCTGTCTCTCTCTCTCACTGTCCACTCTGCCTGTCAAAAAAAACAACAACAAAAAAACAAACAAACAAAAAAAACAAGTCTTTCAGGCCATGCTCGGATTTTCTCTCCTGGCATCATTCATTCATTGTTAATTCATGTGCTCCTTGTACAAATATTCGATGGGTACCTATTATATGTGGCAGGTCCACACCAATACAACAATGAGGGGAAGTGCAGCTCTTACTCCGTGGAATTTACACACTTGGGGAAAGATAGCCATTAATCAAAAAAAAAATATTAGAAGAATGACTTGGAAGTGCTATAAGAGAAGAAGATCGTGCTATGAGACCCCTAGGTAGGGAGGTATATGGCTTGTTGGGGAGAGGGGTGGACGTAGAGGAAACAGTCCTGAGGAGCTTCTGTTTGGCATGAGGTCTGAAGGATAAGCTGTTAGGCAGGTGTCCGAGCAGTGAGAGCAGCCGTGAATATGAGCTGCAGTGAAAGAAGTGAGTATGTTAAGTGTAAGAGAATAAAAGAAGGCCACGTAGGGGCTGGCATTGTGGTGCAGGGGGTTAGACTGCCACTTGCAAGGCTGGCATCCCCTATCAGAGTGCCTGGGATTAAGTCCCACCTCAGCTTCCGATCCAAGTTCCTGCTAATGCACACCCTGGGAGACAGCAGGTGATGGGTCAAGTATCCTGGGTCTCTGTCATCCAGGTGGGTTGACTGGCTCAACCAAGGTGAAGTTCCTGGCTCCTGACTTCATCCTGGCCCAACCGTGGCTGTTGTGGGTGTTTGGGGGAATGAAATAACATATTGAAGACACTATCTCTCTTTTTGTCACTCTACTTTTCAAACATAAATAAATAAGTAAATAAATAAATATACTTAGAAAAAAAGAAAAGATACAGATAGCTTGACTCTCTGTGCATGGACAAGGGAAACACTGCCCCAGTGAGCAGAGGGACAAAATCAAGATGCTTCTGGTTATAGCTCACGGGTTGAATATTTATTCCTCTGTTTACATTTCAAACACCACAGACTCATGTGTAAAAGGATAAGCATACCATATAAAATAATTCATGCTGGGATGCTGTTCTAGAACATAAAAAAGATTCAATAAAACCATCTCTCTCTGTGTGTGTGTGTGTGTGTAACTCTAACTTTCAAATAAATAAGTATTTTAAAGGGGGGGCGGCACTGTGGCGTAGCAGGTAAAACTGCCACCTGCAGTGCTGGCATCGCATCGCATATGGGCATCCATATGGGCCACTTCACTTCTGATCCAGCTCTCTGCTATGGCCTGGGAAAACAGTGGAAGACGGCCCAAGTGCTTGGGGCCCTGTACCCGTGTGGGAGACTCAAAAGAAGCTCCTGGCTTCAGATCGGCTCAGCTCTGGCCATTGCAGCTTCTTGGGGAGTGAACCATCAGATGGAAGAACTCTCTCTCTTTCTCTGCCTCTCCTTCTCTCTCTGTGTAACTCTGACTTTCAAATAAATAAATAAATAAATAAAGATTTAAAAAAAAAAAAAACAAACATCTAGTAGGGGCTGGCACTGTGGCTTACTTGGTTAATCCTCCGCCTGCGGCACAGGCATCCCATATGAGCACCGGGTTCTAGTCCCAGCTGTTCCTCTTCCAGTCCAGCTCTCTGCTGTGGCCCGAGAAAGCAGTGGAGGATGGCCCAAGTGCTTGGGTGCCTGCACCGGTGTGGGAGACCAGGAAGAAGCACATGGCTCCTGGCTTCGGATCGGCACAGCACGCAGGCCAAGGTGGCCATTTGGGGGGTGAACCAATGGAAGGAAGACCTTTCTCTCTCTCTCTCTCTCTCTCTCTCTCTCTCTCACTGTCTAACTCTATATGTCAAATAAAAAAAAATCTAGTAATGAATTATGGTGAGAACCTTTCATACAGACATCTTATTAAATTTGGCTTTTCTCTCTCAAGTTTTCATAAATTTAGATATTACAAAGCCACAAGTGCTAGGTACCACAATATGAATTATTCAAAGTCAATGTACAATAATGACATATCTAATTTTGACAGAGTATGTACTATAACGTGACACTCTGGGAATATAATAAAGTAAGGCTTCTGCAAAAAATTCTTGATTACATTGGTTTTCACCACAAGTACATTGGCATAAAATAAACTTATTCAAATAATAGTATGTTGCCAATGAAATAAACCAAGGCAGGCGATCCATGCAGGAAGCTTTAAGAAAATTCAGAGATTGTGGGTGGGCATTTGGCATAGTGGCCAAGATACAGCTTGGGATGTCAGCATCCCCTATCAGGTGCATGGGTTCTAGTCCCTCCTCTGCTTCCAATCCAGTTTCCTGCCAATGTACTCCCTGGGAGGCAACAGCTGATGACTAGGGCGTGTGGGTCCCTGCCTACCATGTGGGAGAACTGCACTGAGTTCCTGGCTCCTGGCTTCAGCGTGGCACAAACCTAGCTGTTGTGGCCATTCGGGGAGTGAACCAGTGAATGAAAGATCTCTGTCTCTGTCTCTCTGCCTTTCAAATAAAGTTTCAAAAATCTGAAGGACAATTTAGAGACCAGGTTTAGGATGATGTCACTGCACAGAAGTGGGTTCTGTGGGGAACTATGCATCAAGTCAAGTCTATTAAAAATGAAGATGAACTGGTGGGCATGAGTTAAAGTCCTAAATCTTACATGAACAACTGGAAGACGGGCAGGGGCATCTCTGAGCTACATGGCAAAGGGGAGAACATGGGTTGAGTTGAACACGGGAAGTGCTGAGTTTGAGGCATCTGGGCCACACAGCTGGGAACTGTATACCTCTAGGAAGGAGCATTCGGTGAGGTGAGGAAAAGCAATCGGAGATGTTCTGCAAATTCAAGAGAAGAGGATTTGATCTCTTCTCCATGCTCACAAAGCTTTTTTTTTTTTCATTTGATATGAAGAATTTCATTGTCATAAACAAAAATGGGCTGGCCGCAGACACTATTAGAAGGGAGAAAAGCTCTAATTAGCACAATCTTATTTAAAATGCAACATATTTGTTATTCACATGTTTAAATTGGCTTAGCATTACTGAAAGTATAGTTTCTGAGAGCTGGAAACTTGGCTTTCACAAGGGCAAAGTATATCGTTGCTCATTAAACAACTGTTTGACTTCCTGATAGAGGCCTTAGGAATTCAGTGGTGATGCAAAGAGATGTACACTCTGACTTCACAATTGCTCATAGAGTCAAATAGGAAAACATGATAAGAGCAAAACTGTAGTAGATGCTGTAATGTTGGAAAAGAAGGATACTGGGGGCCGGCACTATGGTGCAGCAGGTTAATGCCCTGGCCTGAAGCACTGGCATCCCATAACGGTGCTGGGTTCGAGACCTGGATGCTCCACTTCTGATCCAGCTCTCTGCTATGGCCTGGGAAAGCAGGAGAACATGGCCCAAGTCCTTGGGCCCCTGCACCCACATGGGAGACCCAGAAGAAGCTCCTGGCTCCTGGCTTCAGATCAGTGCAGCTCCAGCAGTTGCGGCCAATTGGGGAGTGAACCATCGGATAGAAGACCTCTCTCTCTCTCTCTGCCTCTCCTCTCTCTGTGTAACTCTCACTTTCAAATAAACAAATAAATTAAAAAAAAAGCAGGCTACTGGAAATTTGAAATTAAAAAAGAAAGTATGCCCAGAGTACACATTGGAATTGAAGTTTACTTGTAAACAGAAACAGCAACAACAACAAATCCCATATGGTCTGATATAACTAATGATCTTCCAAATAATCAGTAAGCATTTTACACCATGCACTGCTGTGGTACACTGCTAGTCAGAACAGCACAGAATCCACAAAGGAAGCTCTTTGGGCCCCGTTTGCCTGACTCACGGAATCTAACTTTCGGTGCCTGCTCCATGGATGAAATCCGTGAAGGCTGCTCCCTGCCTTCAGATCTGGCGGCTAGGAGACCAGCCCTCTACCACAAAGCACTCCTAATGGCAGCTTCAGTAACACTGAATCTGTGGCACTGAAGTTATGTATGACTGTATCTACAATTTCAAATTGCATTCTGTGAAGGAAAGAACTGCATTGTGTTCAATTTCCCCTGCTCTAATGAGCTTAGCAGTGAGTGGGGCAGGGCAGGTTGGCAAAAGGTGCAGAAGGAGTGCCAAAACCAAGGAACAAGGGAGGAGGCACTCAGAAGAAGGGAAAGGCATGCTGGGTACAGAAAGCAAAGTGAAGAAAGTTAGGAGGAGAGAAAAGTGGGGAACAATTATTCCTCGCTATTTCCAGGCTCCAGGACCTCTCGGGATGGAGTGGGGGGTGGGGAGGGGGCTGGGTGGAGAGCCCTTGGGCACAGCCAGCCCAGGCAAATTCAGAACCTCCTTCCCACAGGGACTCTGATGGTCTGCAGGAAGCAAAGCCCTTAAAGAAGGCACACAGCCTGTCCTGTGAGGGGGCTGGGTCCCTTCAATATGTTTGCACCCCATTGAGAGGAGGCTGGGAACACAAACACATCTCCAGCTGGAGCTTCTCTGACTGAGATTATTGTAGAATAAAGTCATTCTGGCCATTTTGGAAGATACAATATGCGACAGTTTGCCCACCACTCTTCCCCCTCTCCAATGAATTTCCCGAGTCTACCTCTCCTTTACTAAATAATTGTTCCCCTGGCTTGTCTACTATCTTATTGTTGTCCCTGCTGGCTGCTTCTGCATCATTCTAATTGTAATGAGCTCAAGTGATGGTACTGATAAGCTCACATGCTTGAGTGATGGTGGGTGAAGGTGGTCACCTACAAGTGCAGCTTCTTTGCATATTTGCAACTTTTTAAAAGAACCATTTCCAACGCTGCAGCATTGATCTAGCTTTCAAGTCACATACTCCAGTTTTGTGGCTCAGATAAAAAGCTAGGTGTAACCTGTGTCAAAGTCTATATATGATATTTTAATTATCATTCAAAGTTCCAGACTGGCTTTGGGTGAGGAAGAAACCTAGAGAAAGAACACCTTTTGCATATGACTTCTCCCATCCCCTGCCATAAATAGAAAACTAAAGGGAGTTTTCATTTGAATGGGACCCAGAAAAAATTTCCTTAATGCATCAGAGATTTTCTAAAGATTTAAAAATAACATTTTGGGAACCAGCCTTGTGGCACAGTGAATTAAGCCAGTGCCTGTGATGCTGGCATCCTATGTTAGAGTGCTGGTTCTAGTATTGGCTGCTCCACTTTTTCTTTTTTAAGATTTATTTATTTTAAAGTCAGAGTTACACAGAGAGAGGAGAGGCAGAGAGAGAAGAGAGAAAGAGAGGGTCTTCCATCCGATGGTCATTCCCCAATTGGCCGCAACGGCCGAAGTTGTGCCAATCCGAAGCCAGGAGCCAGGAGCTTCTTCTGGGTCTCCCACGTGGGTGTAGGGGCCCAAGGACTTGGGCCATCTTCTACTGCTTTCCCAGGCCATAGCAGAGAGCTGGATTGGAAGTGGAGCAGCCGAGTCTCAAACCGGCACCTATATGGGATGCCAGGGCTTCAGTCCAGAGTGTTAACCTGCTGTGCCACAGCGCCAGCCCCGGCTGCTCCACTTCCAATCCAACTTCCTGCTAACATGCCTGGGAAGGCAGCAAAGGATGGCCCTAGTGCTTGGGCCACTGCTACCAACGTGGAAGACCAGGATGGAATTCTCTGGTTTCTGGCTTCAAACTGGCCAAGACCTGGCTGTTGTGGCTATTTGGGTTGTAGTCCAGTGAATGGAAGATTCATATTCTCTCTCTCCCTCTCTCCCTCTTTGTATGTGTATGTGTATGCATATGTGTATGTGTATGTGTGAGTGTCTCACTTTCTTTCACTGATTTTGCAATAAATCTTTAAAAAACGACATTTGGTTATCACATATAATTTGTAACTAGAGAAAAATATAGAAAACTTGAATCATCTATAATTGCTTCACATACAGAAAATCACTTGAATCACATTTTAGAGCATATCCTAATAAACTTGTTATATACATACATATATAGTATGCCACCATCTAAGGCGTAGCCTATATAACTTTCTCTGTCATTAAAATTTGTATAGGGCTGGGCACTTGGCCTAACGGTTAAGCTGTTGGTTAGGATGCCCTCATCTCATATCAAAGTACCTAAGTTTGGTTCCCAATTTGTTTCCTGCTAATGCGCACCCTGGGAGGCCGCAGTGATGATTCAGATAGTCGGGTCCCTGCCACTCACATGGGTAACCCAGATTGAGTTCCTGGTGTTGGCCCAGCCCAGCTCCGGCCATTGCAGGCATTTGTGGTAAATTAGTGGATGAGATCTCGTTCTCTTTCTCTCTCCCTCTTTCTCTCTCTCTCTCTCTCTCAGCTCTTGCTCAAATAAAAAACAAAAACTTTTATGACCATTATACTGATAACTGTATAATATTTCCTCTGAAGTATTTATCATCATTCACTTAAATAGCATGGACTATTTGAGTTTATCAATCGTTTTCTAACCTTCTGATCATTTCCACACTCCTTGTATGGCTACAAATGTGCACAAGTCTCTTGGTGTTCAAAGTGGCCGTTCTCTTAGTACTACTATATTGGACAATGACTGAAATTCTGGGGATATAGCAGTAGACAGAGAAAGAACACTACTTGTTGTTGGTACTGAGAGAGACATTTAAGAATAAACAAACAACAAATAAGGAAAAAAGAAGAAATCAACAGAGGATTAAATAGACACAACAGTAAACTAAGGAGAATGAAACTTTCAGAGAAAGTGTTTAATAGAGGCCTATAAGTAGATGACCTTAAGACAAATTCCCAGCCATTGCATGATCTAGGAAAAGGGTGTTTCAAACCAAGAAAAGAGCAAGTGTATAGACAGAGGCACAAGAAAAGCCTTGGCCTATTTTTGAAAGTGAAGAGAGATGAGTGTCCCTGCGTGTCTTTATCCTGGGAACAGTTCCATCTCAGGCTGAGATTTAAGATCCAAATCATGCCTGGCCTAGTAGGCCTGGGAATGACCTTATTACATTAACAATGGTTAGAAAGGAAGAATTTGTCAGCAGGGAGGATATGATCAGAAATTATATTTTGGAAAACAAATCCTGTTTGATAAGGATATATCTGCACAATTCATGTGCTTAGAAGGTGGTAGAAGGCCGGCGCCGCAGCTCACTAGGCTAATCCTCTGCCTAGCGGTGCCGGCACACCGGGTTCTAGTCCCGGTTGGGGCGCCGGATTCTGTCCCGGTTGCCCCTCTTCCAGGCCAGCTCTCTGCTGTGGCCAGGGAGTGCAGAGGAGGATGGCCCAAGTGCTTGGGCCCTGCACCCTATGGGAGACCAGGATAAGCACCTGGCTCCTGGCTCCTGCCATCGGATCAGCGCGATGTGCCGGCCGCGGCGGCCATTGGAGGGTGAACCAACGGCAAAGGAAGACCTTTCTCTCTGTCTCTCTCTCTCTCACTGTCCACTCTGCCTGTCAAAAAAAAAAAAAAAAGAAGGTGGTGGAAGAAATCAAGAGAGGTTGACTAACTTGGTATATGAAAGGACTTCAGAAAGTTTGTGGAAAAATGGAACTAAATGATAAGCTCATTTGGGTGCAAAAAACTCGAAATTCAAGAGAGTTTTTCATGACATGGGTTTTCCTTGAACTTTTTGCAGATTTGTCTTAAATTTTAGAGTATTCAGAATATATAAATCCTTGGCAGCTACCAAACAGCTTTAGAGAGATGAGGAAAATGTGGGGTGGGCAATTAAAGATAATTTATAAACTGTGTTAATGACTAAATGGTTGGATGGTAGATAGCATGATGCCATTGGTTACATGGGAGATAGTGGCAAAAAGAAGTATGTTTCACACATACTAAGTAAGCATTGTCTACTAGATGCCAAGTTGAGATATCAAGATACAAATGATACTGGACTTGGGATTTCAGGGTGGAAGTCTGAGTAGGAGATAAGAACACGGGAATATTCATAGAGATGAAGCATTGAGAGAGGTTATTAAAGAAGGCAAATGGCAACGTGTTTGTATATTGATGGAAGTGATCCAAGAGACAGAGGGAAAGAAGGAAAGAGGAAAACTTGAAAGTGCAAGACATGGAGATGATTACAGAAAAACTGAAATCCTGACGGGACTCTAAGAGGCAGCATGAATGCACCTCGGAAGCATTCCGACCAAGGTATGAGTAACTTGAGACATTCATCAGCTTCCACTGGTCATTCCCCCAGCACTTCTAACCTGATCTGCATGTGCGCTAAGCCAGTTGTGGTGGCCTGAGAAAACCACCCGGCAAAGATTCCTAGGTGCTTGAGGTTAGAAGCCATTAAGTCAGCCTACATGGGAACAGTTAGTCTCAAGGAGGTATGGAGGAACCCAGTTTTTTATCCTAGTCCTGCTCAATGTGTCTCCATGGGATCTTAGTTGAAACTGAAAAACATTAACAACTTGAGTGATACTCAATAGCTGTTGCGAAACAAGAGTTTTAGCCATAGCTTTGTATTTCCCAAACAGAGGGATCTGAAAAAAAAAAAAGTTTCTGAGAATGGCAGGAGGTCAGTAAAAGGAATAGGGCTTGTTTGTCCTTATTTTCATTATTTGAATGTATCTCTAAGGAATTCTCCTTTGTCCTATTCATCCACATCAAAGCCTTGCCCTCTAACCAATTCAGCTTTCTAGTTTATAGTAGATGCCCTTTGAGTCTCTACCCTTGACTAACAATTGTCAAAACATTTTACAGATGCTCTCTCTAATGACTAGCAATCCTCTGCAGACAGCTAAGGTAATTTCCACTTCACAGGTGGAGAGTCCAGTTTTGCCAGGTGGCATGATTTACCTGAACTTAGGTCCTCTGACTCCCATCCACTTGTTTCCTGGGCCACTTCTGTTCAAGAAAGGGGAACTGGGGGCGCTACTTCTGACGCTTCACTTAGAGCAAATAGGCTGATCACCGGAAAGTAGCACTAGGTTCCGGGAAGCCTTTCTCCAAATTCTATTTCACGTTGACTTTTCTCTTTAGAGCCATGATTAGCATTAAATAGAACGTAAGAGGCTTCCACAGGACACCGACTAATTTGTAGTCAGCTCATAGAACTCCTTGTTACTCATTTCCTCACAGGCTGACACAAGCGTCGGTCAACCACAATAAAAATGGCGACTGCGGCTTCACTATGGCAACGAGGGCGTTTTCGTCAACAATCGCGACGAGACATTCAGTTCCGGCCCGTTCGTTGACGTCACTTCCTGTCTCGTATTAGCGGCTTAGGCGCCGCTTTTACTGCTCCAGGCGTGGATATAGCGGGAGTTGTGACTGGACCCTGCACAGAGAGGTTCTCGCCTGGGGAACCGGAGAGAACACAGACGCTAGAAACATGCCGAGAGAAGATGGGAAGCCCGTGGCTGTTGTGGCCGTCGCGACTGAACCTCGGTTTACCCAGCGCTACAGGGAATACCTCGAGAAACAAAAGCTCTTGGATAGGCGGCACCGTGTAGAAAAGATGCCGGATGGCACCGTGGCGCTCCCGGTGCTGGGGGAGACCCTCCCCGAGCAGCACCTGCGGGAGCTGACCGATCGCGTGGCCCCAGGCAGCACCTGTGTGCTGACGCAACTCCTGCAGCCTGTTCCTTCAAAGAAGACCCGGAGTCGTGCACCTGCCCAGAGACTGTGCCTTCAGGTGAGGCGGTGGGTGGAGGCCCGGGGAGTGGCGTGGTCCGCGGAGTTGGAGGCAGATTTGCCCCGATCCTGGCAAAGGCATGGCGACCTCTTGTTGCTGAGTGAAGAATGTTTTCAGGCCAAGCAGTGGGGAAATCTAGAACCAGAACTCTGGGACACCGTTGCCTCGGCGCTTGGCGTCCAGCGTTTGGCCAAACGAGGGCGGGTATTACCCGACGGCACTCGGACTCCTGCAGTGACCCTGCTGCTGGGTGACCATGGCTGGGTAGAACATGTGGACAATGGTATCCGATATAAGTTTGACGTGACTCGCTGCATGTTCTCTTTCGGAAACATCACGGAGAAGCTGCGCGTGGCATCGCTGTCCTGCGCTGGAGAAGTATTGGTGGATCTCTATGCAGGGATTGGTTATTTTACATTGCCCTTCCTCGTTCATGCTGGTGCCGCCTTTGTCCATGCCTGTGAGTGGAACCCCCATGCTGTGGCTGCTCTGAGAAAGAACCTGGAGATCAACGGAGTGGCAGATCGCTGCCAGATACACTTTGGGGATAACAGAGTACTGAAGCTTTCGAACGTTGCAGATAGGGTGAACCTGGGGCTGATTCCCAGCTCTGAAGAAGGCTGGCCCATTGCCTGCAGAGTCCTACGACAGGACGCTGGGGGCATTTTGCATATCCACCAAAATGTGGACTCCTTCCCAGGGAAGCGTCTCCAGCCTCCTGGAAGCAGTGAAATGGAGAAAGAGCATTGCCCTTACTCTCAGCAAATTATCACCAACCAAGAGGAAAATGGAGCTACCAGGGATTCTGGGAGAAAAGTGCTGTCACCAGCCACCAAGCCGGAATGGCAGAGGTGGGCACAATCTGCAGAAACTCGAATTGCCACTCTTCTTCAGCAGGTGCACGGGAAACCATGGACGACACAGATCCTGCGCATCCAGCCAGTGAAATCCTATGCTCCCCACGTGGATCACGTAGTCCTGGATCTGGAATGCCGTCCTGTCCTCTAGTTGGCTAGAGGAGGTAGTTCCAGGATACAAGGATCCTGGGATGAGTGAACACTGTGTCAGCTCCCACTGAGTGTCTACCTGTTTCCTGTCCTGGAGATCTATTTTAGTATTTTATGGCCCTGAAAGTGGCTCTAGTCTAATTCAAATCAGTTACTTTGCCTTCCATTGATCACACTGAGAATGAGCTACACACCTGGGAAAAGCAGCATGTCTCATTGAAGTGAGACCCATATATGCAGTCATGAAGTATGAATTCTGACTTCAGTTCTGACCTGGGGTACATGTTTCACTATTCATTTGGCCTTGAATTTCCTTATTTGCAAAATGAGGGTATCTCTGAACTGTCTCAAATGTCTGTTTTAAAAAAGAGTTGTACACAAATGAAAGACATGATAGTGTTTCCAAAGTCATTCCAACTACAGTATGGGAATCACCTGGAGGAAGGCCAAGTTGGAAATAGGGAGATGGGTGAGGAGGCTTCTGTGGTTGTATAGGCACAAGGTGATGACGTCCTGGGTTAGGGTGCTGTCATTGGGAGGTGGATGGATTTGGAAAAGAAAGTTGACAGGACCAAACTATGGAATCCAAATAAGGCATTCACATGCTTCTCCTTTCACTGTGACTCAAGGAGGGAAGGAGACAAAAGTCACTCTGCTGTATCAACTTCATTCCTCTGTTAGCATTCCTAAATGAGTATGAGGAGATGTTTTATGTATTAAGTTGATTGTAGTAGGAAAAGAGTTAAACCATAGAGAATATACATTTTTAGCCCTAAGCTCGTGCAGTAACTTCTGATTACTAGCTATCTTTAAAATTCTGATTAAAATGTTACACTTTTATAGGCTTGAGACTCCCAATTCATCTAACGTCCCTGGCCAACAACATCAGGGACATTTGCTATATGGAATGTGAGATATGCTGCAGATTCTTGTGAACCTTGCCTTATTTTATGGCTGTCAGCCGTCACCATGGTTTGCCATTTGGCTAACTCATTAACTGTTTTGATGCGTTTTGAAGCCATCTGGGTGTGTTGCTTGATGAAGGAGATATAGAAGTGTGCCTGTGTTGGGATTCCGAGTGTATCTGAAATGTGGCTAGCTGAACTAGGGCAGAGCTGCTTGTCTTTCTCTTGCAATAGCGGCAGATAAGGACGGGGTTGGTGCTGTTTGTGTTATCCAGCAAACGTTAACTGCCTACTATATAGGAGTCACAGGAAATACAAATACCCATTAGATAAAGCTCCAGCCCCTGAGGATTTCATTACTACCAGCAGAAATTGCACAAATGCTCAAAGACTTAAGATTACAATAAGATGAATGCCATATGTGTGACAGTGTATCGTAGGGCTGCAGTGGTGGGAAAGAAGAGTTGAGAATTGCATGAGAGTGTCTTCCTGGAGGCACTGTTTAGATGTCTCTTGGAAACTGGGTAAGATTTTTTCTTAAAGATTTATTTATTTATTTGAATGAGTTACACAGAGAGAGAAGAGGCAGAGAGAGAGAAAGAGGTCTTCCATCCACTGGTTCACTCCCCAATTGGCCACAACAGCTGGAGCTGTGCTGATCTGAAGCCAGGAGCCAGAGCTTCTTCCAGGTCTCCCACGTGGGTGCAGGGGCCCAAGCACTTGAGCCATCTTCTACTGCTCTCCCAGGACATAGTAGAGAGCCAGATCGGAAGTGGAGCAGCCAGTACCCGAACTGGCGCCCATATGGGATGCCCAGCGTTTCAGGCCAGGGCATTGACCTGTTGTGCCACAGCACTGGCCCCCTGGGTAAGATTTTGATTGGTGGTGTTGGGGTAAAACATGTAGTAGCTGAAGAGAACAGGAAGTACAAAAGTCTGAGTGCTGAGAAAACGGGCCATTGTCTTAGATGGTGTGGAACAGAGGAAGTGGAGAGAGATGCATTAAAGATAGGGGTTGCTATAAGGATTAAAAAGCAGTGTCTTATACACAGTAAGCCCCCTAGGAAATGTTAGCTATCGTGTGATCCCTCCTCAGAAAGCAGCCGATTTCTGGCCATTCCTGTCTTCCAGTGTGTTTTTCCTGTGTTTACCTTGATCTCCTCTTTTATATACTGGGTTTCTTCTCACTTGCGTGCCAACCTGAGGCTTGAGCCCATGTGAACAGGGAATGTGGAGAAGAAACAGTGGGGGAGATGAGTCAGAGAGCAACGTCTGGGGATTGAGACGTCACCTTCTTGCCATAGACCGGATAGGCAGATGGTACTGGTAGAGCTTGCTGAATTAACTCACTTGATCAAGAGTTTTCGAACTGCTAATATATACAAGTATGCGTGGATTTCAAAATATTTTCCACCAAACCAGCTTATCTTTTAATTCCGTTTTCTACATGTTTTTTGAAGTCCCTTCAGATACTTCAGGCCCTGAACATGCAGTGGTAGAAGACTGACATGGGCTCTGCCTTCGTGGAATTTAAAAGTTCTGCTCATTCAACTCTTGGGCTCAACTTTCTGCGTGACCTAAGGCAAGTAATGAAGATGGCTTAAGATTTAGTTTGTTTACGTGTACATTGGGGTTAACAACTGCACATACAGATCCTATAGGGTAGTTGTTAGTTTTAAATGAGTTAACATGTTAAACTGCCATCACAGTGACTGGCCTAGAGTGAATATTCATTTGTCACCTCTGTATCTGCTGAACCACCATTTCACAGTTTGGCTATTAGTGGTCGCTACACATCTGGCTTACTGGAAGCACAATGTGTTGTTTTAAAAAGCCATTCACTGTTAATTAGGATTCCCTGTACAATCTCTTCATTAAGCCCTGCTCAGGTCCAGTGACAGGAAGAGGAATAACTCTGAATACTACCCGTAGTGCGCTCACTCTGGTGACATCAGCGCAGAGAAAACAATGTCAAGTGCTGAGATAGAAGCAAACAGGAGTTTTTATGGGGACGCAGGCAGAGGAGGTGGGCAAGGTGACTGGGATGTGGGGGTCGGGATGTTCAGGCGGAGGTTGAAGAGTGAGCAGGAGCTGTGTAAGCAAACGAAAAGAAGGCTCCAGAAGCCTTCTCTGTTCTTGAGTATATTCATTGAGAGTTTTGTCTGAGGACTTGGAGGATTGGCCTAGTCAGGACGAAGCACCTTGCCAAGAATAGAAAGACTGAAGGATTCGAGAGGCTCAGTCCAGGAATTTAAGAAAGGTCTAAAGTAGGGGTGGGGAACGTCCAACCTGCGGGTCCCCTGCAGAATCATTGGTGTGGCCCTGCAAGGCAGCTGCCAGCAGGACCTGAAGTTCAGCAGGTTCCTAACAGGCTAATTTTTAAGTTGATAATTTTGTATGGCCCATGAATGATGTTATGAATGTCCAAATGGCCCTTGGCAGAAAAAAGGTTCCCTCCCCTGGGCTTTCCATGCAAGCTTCAATAATATTAATTCCTGGTTAATATCTCCAGTTTTTGGAGATATTGTAATATTTTTAAAAATAATATTTTTGAGCTTCTCAATTCATTAACTTCATAATTTTATAATTATGTACATGTATAAATTATGAGTACAGTGTGTATATTTAAAATACACAAACAAAATTTAAAATAAGTAACAAATAGAAAAAGCACTTTAATTCATTTTCTCCTACCGCAGGTACACGTAAGCAGAAACCAACATACATCACTCTGAACAGCCCAGCCTAAGGATGGGTAAGCCTTAGTTTCAAACTACTATTTTAAATTAGTGTAACTGTTTCAATGTGTTTAAAATAATGAGAAAACCAATCCAGTTCACTTTCGGAAAACAGGCAGTTCCTCAATGCGTTAAACATAGGCTTATCAAATGACCCAGCCAGGGGGACCCTCAGGATGATATTCAGGAGGAGCGGAAACGTGTGGCCACGCAGAAACCTGCACAGGGATGTTTGTAGCAGCATCAGTCACGGTCCGTCCACTGATGAATGCAGAAACAAAATGTGATCTGTCCACACAGCCGAGTCCCTAAAAAAGAACGCATGCTGCGAAACACTGCAACTCGGGTGAGCCCTGAGAACCCGAGTGAGCAGCTCATCGCAAAAGGCCACTTAATGTAGAATCGCATTCATTTGAAATGGCCACAATAGGGACAGCCATCGATAACGGTAGGTTGCCAGGGGCTGGGAGGAATGGGGAATGAGGAGTGTGCTCATGTCACTGGTTTCTTTTGGAGGGAGGAGGAATGAAAATGTTCTGAAATTAGTGGTGCTGTAATATACTGCTAACCACTTAACTGGATGCTTTAAAGGGTATAATGTGAATTGCATCTCAGTTAAAAAAATAGGGAACTGGAAAGCTGGAGAGTTTGAATTTTAATAGCATTCAGCCAGGTAAAGGCAGAGGCGGCTTCTCCAAGCTGAGCTGTTTCTGTCTCACTGAACGGTTTCTCTTGGGTCTGTACAGGTAGCGCTGTGTCCTTCCTCGTGCCTCTCCTGATTGTACGGGTTGTTCCTGGGAACCTTTTCCCTGGTGCTCAGAGGGGTAACTCACTGGGGATATACTGAGAAATACAGAGTTGACTCACAGTACCCATCCCGGTCCCCCTTTCTCTTAAAAAAGGCTGGAAACTACACGAGTGAATGTCCTGGCTTTTCTTGCAGTGTAGTGGCCACGAGCATCAGTGGTGATGAGAACTTACAGAAAGACGTCTCTGGGAGGGTTTGGGTCTCTGTCTCTGGGGATGCGGCAACATCTCAGCAAGTCTGGTAGAACGGGATTGTAGGACTCTGACTTTTAAAGGAGCGCTTTGGTCAGCCACACTTGCCTTTAAATGTCTATTTTTAAACTTCTTATCATGTGAAAAGTAACTTGCAAACCCACCAACTCAACAAACTTATTTAAGTCTCTGTTGGATTTTTTTTTTTACAGGAAAGAAATAGTTCTACCTGATATTGTGAATAGTGGGTTAACCAGATCTATAAGATATGATAGAGGTGAATAAATAAAACAGTGACAGAGTGGGAATGCTCACAGCTCTCAGTGCCCAAACAGCATTTTGAAAAAAAGTTGTCCCAGATGTTTTAACTGTTAATGCTGCCACCTAGTGGAGATATTGTGCAAATAAAAACTCATTCCATCTTGAATTACATCCGCGACTCCATGGTCGGTCTGTATTCTTTTCCCTTCCATTTCCTCTCCCTTTTTCAATGTGCCAGACACTGTGGTAACCACTAGGAATAAAATAGGAAACAGAAGCAGACTCAATTCCAGACTCCCTGGACCTTATACTGTAATGATGCGCTGGGCATGAATCAGTCACACACCACAGTGCTCAGAGGTTCTTAATGCTGTCGGGACCCAGACAAGGTTGACCTGGTTAGGAAGGTCAAAGAAGGCTTCCCTGAGAATATGATGACAGCCGGAAGCTGAAGGGTGAGCAGAGTTGCTGAGTGACCAATACAGAGCATTGCCGTCCAGGCCATGAGGACAGTGTGTGTAAGTGCCCTCTGGAGGAGTTTGTGGAACTAGAAAGAAGTCCACAATGGATGGAGAGGGTCGAGTAAGGGGTGAAGAGGTGTTGATCAGGTGGCAAAAGTAAGCAGTAATCAGACCAGGCAGGGGATTCTGTAGCCTATATTAACAGCTTATCCCAACAGCAATGGGAAGTCTTAAGCAAAAACGTGATGTGGTTAAACGTGGTGTTTTATAAATTCACATTTCACCATAATCCTAGTGTTCTAAAACATTTTTAAATTTTTAAATATGCCCTCATTCAAAACCTTCCTTTGCCCTAATCTCTCCACTCTCATTTGGAACCACTGGGGCTGTACACATCGTCATAGTCAAGAATTGTGTTTATGTTCATGGGAGAAATGCTGGCCTCATGCTATGAGTTGATTCACTTGGGGTGTATTCCTTCTTTCGTTTTCTAGAAAAGGTTTTGTAGAATTCTTAAGACTTCTTCCTTAATTGTTTGGTTGAATTCCCCAGTGAAGCCATCTGGGTCTAGATTTTTGTGGGAAGATCTGTAACTACAAATTCAACTTCTTTAAAAGATGTAGGGTAAACCAGGGTATTTTGATGTTGTTAAATGCGTTTATTATAGATGTTTTTTATTTTTTTTATTTTTTTTTTTTTTTATTTTTTGACAGGCAGAGTGGACAGTGAGAGAGAGAGAGAGACAGAGAGAAAGGTCTTCCTTTGCCGTTGGTTCACCCTCCAATGGCCGCCGCGGCCGGTGCGCTGCGGCCAGCGCACCGCGCTGATCCGATGGCAGGAGCCAGGAGCCAGGTGCTTTTCCTGGTCTCCCATGGGGTGCAGGGCCCAAGCACCTGGGCCATCCTCCACTGCACTCCCTGGCCACAGCAGAGAGCTGGCCTGGAAGAGGGGCAACCGGGACAGAATCCGGTGCCCCAACCGGGACTAGAACCCGGTGTGCCGGCACCGCAAGGCGGAGGATTAGCCTAGTGAGCCGCGGTGCTGGCCTATTATAGATGTTCCAAGGATACACAGCAGTAGAGAATAATGATCCTCCATTCCCCTGTCCCAGCCTCCCAGTTTTGTCAGTTTTCAGCCTGTTCCCCACAACCGCAGGTATTTTGTGTTTATTCACGTGAGTGATGAATTCCAGTCATCATGACACTGTGTTCATAGCAGTTTCAGTGTTCATCTGCAGTGGATGAGCACATGCCAGCGTTTCATTGTTAGAGCTTGCAGAAGTACAGAACCACCACACATCCCTTAATATAATGCAGACCCGATCGTCTCAAGATGCCTTTGTTCCATGGCTGTATTCAGACCGGATCCAGAGGTCAATGTGCTGCATTTGGATGCAGTGTCCCTGAAAGGAGGGAAGAAGCTGTAAACACCTCTCATTACTGGAGCTGACCATTTGCATCCCCTCTCTTTTCTTGAATTGGCTGATTATCTCAAAGAATTAGCTTTTTGTTCACTTATTTACCTGTTGTATTTCTATTTTCTCTTTTAATTTCTGCTCAGATTTTTTTTCCCTTGCTCTTTTTCTACTTTCAGGAGGAGACAGTTGAGATCATTGCTTTATCCCTAATGTAGGCACTGAATGCTATTATCTTTCAGTGCTATTTTAGCCTCACCCTACACGTTTCTTTTTTTTTTTTTTTTTCTATTTTATTTCTATATTCTCAACCCCACCCCCCCCACCCCCCCGTGGTGGCAGGAACCAGTCTCTTGAGCCATCACCTCTGCCTCCCAGAGTTTGTTTAGCAGGAATCTGGAGTTAGGTGCAAGTGCTGAGTGTGCACTCCAAGCACTCTGACACAGAAAGCGGCCATCTTAACCACTGGACCAACTGCCCAGCCCACGAAGGGCGATTTCTTCTTCTTCTTTTTTTTTTTTTTTTTGGACAGGCAAGTTAGACAGTGAGAGAGACAGAGAGAAAGGTCTTCTTTTTCCATTGGTTCACCCCCCAAGTGGCTGCTACGGCCAGCATGTTGCGGCCAGTGAGCTGCGCCGATCCGAAGCCAGGAGCCAGGTGCTTCCTCCTGCTCTCCCATGCGGGTCTCCCAAGGACCTGGGCCATCCTCCACTGCACTCCCGGGCCACAGCAGAGAGCTGGACAGGAAGAGGAGTGACCGGGACAGAATCCGGTGCCTCAACCCGGTCTAGAACCCGGGATGCCAGTGCCATGGGCGGAGGATTAGCCTAGTGAGCCAGGACGCCGGCAGCCCTACACATTTCTTAAAAAGATTTTTTTATTCTTATTTGAAAGTCAGTTAGAGAGGGAGAGGGAGAGACACAAAGAGACGGACCTCCCATCCACTGGTTTACTCCTCAGAAGGCCACAATAGCCAAGGCAGGGCTAGGCCAAAGCCAAGGGCCAGGAGCCTCTTGCATGTCTCCCACATGGGTGGCAGAGGCCCGAACATTGGGCACCTTCTGCTGCTTTTCCCAGGTGCATTAGCAGGGAGTTGGATCAGAAGTGGAGCAGCTGCAACAGGAACTGGCACCCATATGGGATGCTGGTGTTGCAGGTGGCAGCTTTACCCTCAATACCACAATGCCAGCCCCTCATCCTACACATTTTTATGTCTTGTGTTTTCATTTTCATTCAGTCAAAATTACAAGTGGCCAACGACATAGCTTCCAGTCACCTAGCAGCCACTCCCTAATGTCCAATCCTGAGCCCCTGATACAGTCCCATCCCTTAAGGAAACCAGGTAACTATTAGCAAGCTGAGTACACTGGATTCCTTCCATCCTGGGCAGGGCAGTGATTCACGGCGACTGGAATTGCCCATCTCCACGTATGAGTTCACCTTTGTTGCCTATGAAACATTGGCTAGCACTACTATCCAAGAGTTTACAGACGTATGATCCATTGATATGTATCTTACATAACATGGCCTTTGACCTCGGGATCTCCTTTACAACAAACGAGATGTGTCAGTGGGCATGTAACCATGGCATTTATCTTATCACCTACTATACAGCCTAGAAGTGCTGGGTTGAAAAAAAAAAACTATGGGAAAAAGTTTTGAAGATGAAACTGAAGCAAAAGCTTAGAATACTCCGTGAAGATGGAATGCCATCCACCAGAATGCAGTATACACTTGATTTTTTTTTTTTTAATTTTTTTGACAGGCAGAGTGGACAGTGGGAGACAGAAAGGTCTTCTTTTACTGTCGGTTCACCCTCCAATGGCCGCTGCGGCTGGTGCATCGCGCTGATCCGATGGCAGGAGCCAGGTACTTATCCTGGTCTCCCATGCGGGTGCAGGGCCCAAGCACTTGGGCCATCCTCCACTGCACTCCCGGGCCATAGCAGAGAGCTGGCCTGGAAGATGGGCAACCGGGACAGAATCCGGCGCCCCGACCGGGACTAGAACCGGGGGTGCCAGCGCCGCAGGCAGAGGATTAGCTTATTGAGCCGCAGTACCAGCCTGCAGTATACACTTGAAACCAACACCCTTATGTGGTGTGTGTCCCATATGGACAGAATACATATGTTTAGGAATGAAGGGGTAGAGAGAAGTCCCACGGTGACAGACTGAATAATGGACCCAAATGTCCCAATACCGGAACCTATGAAAATGTTATCTTACATGGCTGCTATGGTGTAAATGTCCCCTCCAAAACTCATGTTGAAATTTAATTGCCAGGGGCCAGTGCTGTGGCACAGTGGGCTAAAGCCCTGGCCTGAAGCGCAGGCATCCCATATGGGCACTGGTTCTAGTCCCGGCTGCTCCTCTTCTGATCTAGCTCTCTGCTTTGGCCTGGGAAAGCAGAAGAAGATGGCCCAAGTCCTTGGACCCCTGCACCCACATGGGAGACCCGGAAGAGGCTCCTGGCTCCTGGCTCCTGGCTTCAGATCTGCACAGCTCTGGCCATTGTAGCCATCTGGGGAGTGAACCAGCAGATGGAAGACTCACTCTCTCTCTCTCTCTCCCCCTCTCCCCCTCTCCCCCTCTCCCCCTCTCCCCCTCTCTCCCTGCTTCTCTCTGTAACTCTGCCTTTCAAATAAATTTAAAAAATCTTAAAAAAAAAAAAAGAAATTTAATTGCCAATATATCAGTATTAGGAAGCGGGCCTTTAAGAGGTGTTCAGCTTATAAGGGCTGGGCTTTCATGATAGATTAAGGCACTTACTATGGGAGTGGGTTAGTTATTTCAAGAGTGGTTTGCTAAAGCTGGCACGGTGGTGTAGTGGGTAAAGCCACTACCTGCGGTGCTGGCATCCCATATGGTTGCTGGTTTGAGTCCTGGCTGCTCCACTTCCAATCCAGCTCCCTGCTAATGTGCCTGGGAAAGCAGTGGAAGATGGCCCCAGTCCTTGGGCCCCTGCACCCATGTGGGAGACCTGGAAGAAGCGCGTGGCTCCTGGCTTCAGATCAGCGCAGCTCCAGCCATTGTAGCCATTTGGGTGAGTGAATCAGCAGCTGGAAGACTTTCTCTCTCTCTGCCTCTGCCTCTCTGTAACTCTGCCTTTCAAATAAATAAATCTTTAAAAAATAAATAAAAATTTTTGAAAACAAAAGAGTGGGTTGTTATAGATTCAAGTTCAACTTCCTCAGCCTTCTCTTGATCTCCTGCATGTGCTGTCACCACAGGCTGCCTCTGCCATATTATGAGTTGGCAGCAAGGCCCTCAGCAGATGTGGCTCAACTTGGGCTTCCCAGACTCCAGAACCATCAGCCTAACACAGTCCTGCTGCCATCATTTACCCGGTCTCGGGAATTCTGTTACAGCAGCAGAAAATGGACAAGACCTTGGTACATGGGACTTTGCAAAGACAGGGGCATTGCCCTGACTTATCTACTGGGCTTGATACACTCACAAAAGCCCTTGGAAGAGAGCACTTTCGCTTAGTATATGTGATGATTTAAGCAGAAGGTTACGGTAATGGGAAGAAGGGGCCATGAGCCAAGGAATGTAGTCAGCCTCTAGAAGCTGAAAAGGCAAGGAGACAGATTCTGCCTGGAGGCCTCTAGAAGAAATGCAGCCCTGCTGACACTTCGATTTTAGACTTCTGACTTCCAGAACTGGAAGAAGATAAAGTTGTGTTATTCGAAACCACTAAGTTTGGAATAATTTTCTGTAGCAGAATAGGAAATTAATACAGGATGAACATTCTTAATCTGAAAACCCAAAGTTCTGAAATGCTCCAAATTCTGAAGCATTCTCAGTGCCAATCTGATGCCCCAAGTGGAAAATTCCACACTTGACCTCATGTGACAGCTGAAGTTAAAACACGGGCACACTAAAAATACTGTATAAAGTTACCTTCAAGCTATATATATATATATATATATATATATAAGATGTATATGAAACAAATTCTGTGTTTAGATTTGAGTCTCATTCCCCAAAAATCTCATGTATATGCAAACATTAAAAAATCCAAAATCCAAAACTCATTTAGTCCCATGCATTTCAGATCAGGGATACTCCCTCTGTTCACTCACTCACTGTCAGGCCCAGGGACCCACATGGGGAGTTTTTGCTTGCTGTTGCCACAACTTTGAGTCTAGAGGTCCTGTTCCCCCTAAGAGGGAAATTTTTCACCAAGAGATGTCATCATAGACCATTTAAAATTTAGCCTGCAGAGGCTCCCCAGTCACTTTAGGCTCTTTATGCAAAGGTATCAGCAGGCAAAGAAGGGTCCCCCTCCTAGCTGAGGTCACAGAATGTGATCACCAAGAAGCAGCAGGGTCACTGTTGCACAAGTAAGGCAGGAAGGAACATATTTTACACTGAAGGTGTCTTAAGAGATCGCTTATCCTTCCCAGCCCCATGTCAGGACTAAAATGGATGATGCCCAAAATAGCAGGGTAAGGATTTCTAAAAACGGCTCTCCGTAAATAAGCAGTAAAAACCCTGGCACCAAATGCCAAAGTCAACTTTTTCAGAACCCTAAAATCTAAAGGCTTGCAATAATCCAAGGAGAATTTATTCAAGAAAAACAGCTAAATCTTGGTAAAAAGGGAAGCAGCTTAGCTTGTTCTATTCCCATCCACCATCTCTGATATATAATGGTAAGCAGCAGTGGTGACGGTAACATAGTCTTGCCTTGTTCCCGACTTTAGGGAGAACACCCCCAGAGTGCTTCACTGTGAAATGATAGGCTGCCGTTGTTAGGCAGTACCAGAGTCCTACCATATCCCTGTTTTATCCTTGTCCTGTATTGTCACTTTTATCTTGGACCAGCTGACTGATTGTATGGAACTTTTCTAGCCTCTGTTGTGTTCCTGGGTCACTTTTTCTAACCATACACTAATGCCACCATGTCTTCATTGTTATAGATTTACAATAGATCCTGATAGCTGACATTACAAATCCTTCCACTTGGTTTCTTAAGGTTACCTCAGCTATTACTGACATTTTCCATTTTCTTATGAATTTTAAACCAGCTTGCCAATTATCGGAAAAAATAAACTGCTGAGATTTTTTTTTTAGAGAGAGTACATTGACTATTTAGGTTGATACCTTTAAATATTGACTCTTCCATCTTGAAATTTTTATTCTACTCAGGTATAGCTATGAAGTGAGAAGTGATTATCAGAAAGCTGAACTGTATAGGATTCCACCTAGAGTGAAGGGTCCTATACTTCCCATCTATCACTGAGATATTATTTTCTCTTAAAACAAAATGTATTTTGGGCCTGGCGTCGTGACAGAGTGCGTCAAAACACTACCTGCAATGCCAGAATGCCATGTAAGTCTGGCTCAATCCCGGATTCTAGACTTCGATCCAGCTCCCTGCTAATGTGCCTGTGAAAGCAGCAGGAGATGGCCTCCGACACCCGTGAGGGAGCCCCAGATGAAGCTCCTGGCTTCGGCCTGGCTCAACCCAAAGGCCACTTGGGGAATGAACCAGCAGATGGAAATCTCTGTCTCTTCCTCTCTTTCTGTAACTCTGCCTTTCAAATAAGTAAGTAAATTTAAAAAAAAATACAAATAGCTGAATTTCAATGAGCATATTTGAATTTTACTTTAATAAAAAGAGACAAACCATAAAATAACTTAGGGTCACTTTTTTTTTTTTTTTTTTATTTTGGTAGTTCCAGAGGTCTGAGATAAAGTTAGGGGGATATATTTTGGCTGCTAACCACTGCCCTTCCTACCAGAGCCCGCATCTTCCATTTGAAGGAAGCATCAATATATTTGTGGGTGATGGGAAAGGGAAGGAAGTAGGGACCGTTTCCTACTGCTACCTCTCACTAAGGAAGCTAGGATTTAAATACATGATCTAGTATGAGTGTACTTCAAAAAGTCTTTGGATAATAGAATTAAGAAATTAATTCTGTATAAAAATTTTTGAAACCATATATTTGAGGGATCTTCTAAAATCTTGGGAAATGTGTATTATGAAAAAATTATGTGTGGATTTCAAAAATTTTTTTGCCACCAAAATAAATTTTTCAGTTCCGTTTTTGCACTAATTTGTTGATGTGTCCTTGTAAGCTTGACCATTTGGATGGTCTCTCTTAAGTCCTGAAATGTCGAGGAATGAGGAAAATAACTTCATAAATTCCTTTTTTTGTTTAAGGTTTTTGAATTGCTTTAAACAAAGACCTGACTGATGCAAATGTTGACAGAAAATTCAAGCTAGTTTTTACAAATTCTACATCTAATGGCTTTGAAAGCTACTGAGGCTTTTTGAGTCACTAAAGCTAAATGAAATATTTTTAAAAAATACATTTATTTGAAAGAGTGACAGGGGGTGGGGGGAGAGAGAGAAACTGAGGGAAAGGGGTGGGTGGAGGGAGAGAGAGAGAGAAACAGGGAGAGATCTATCTGCTGGTTTACTCCCCAGATGCTTGCAACAGCCAAGGCTGGCCCAGGCTGAAGCCAGGGGTCTAGCACTCCATGCACATCTCCCATGTGGGTAGCAGGGACACAGGCACTTGGGCCATCAGGTGCAATGTTGCAAGGCTCAGTAGCAGGAAGCTGGACTGCAAGCAGAGCACCCACTGCAGCACACGGCCATCCCCAGACTGTTGTGTTTGAGCACGGGTAATCTGTGTACAAAAGTTGGTGTGTGGGGCCAGCACTGTGCCCTGGATGCTCCACATCTGACCCAGCTCCCTGCTAATGGCCTGAGAAAAGCAGCAGAGGGTAGTCCAAGTGCTTGGGCCCCTGCTATTCATGTGGGAGACCTGGAAGAAGCTCCTGGCTTCAGCCTGGTCCAGCTCCGGCTGTTGCTGACACTTGGGGAGTGAACCAGTGGATGAAAGATCTCTCTGTCTCTCCCTCTCTGTAACTCTTTCAAATAAATAAATCAATCTTTAAAATAAAAATGTTTATGTGTAGATGTAAATACACACACCCCACACTGTTCTGGGTAGACTCAAGGAAGACTTCAGCCAAGTTGTGCAATATTCAAATCAGTGTAGAAATCAAAGATTAATTTCAGTGGATTGCAGCTATTTTTAAAAAAACTTATCTTTTCTCTTAAAAATTCCTACACATTATATAAATTACCTCATCTATACAAATTTAGTTTTAAGCTAATATTTTAAAATACTTAGCCAGGATCATATTCAAACCTTCATTTTAAATAGGGAAAGCAAGACCTACTGTTTAGGGACTTGCTTTAAATCCTATGTAAGACAAGAATAACAATTTCACCAGCTGAAAGTTCTCAGCCCTGATGAAATTCAGTCTGAATATTTTATACTAATAAAACTTGTACATTAAAAATTAGTGTTAAGCCCAAGGAACACTGGATTCTACACAGCAACCTGTCTCGGTCCTTCCGTTGCAGCAAAATGCCCCGCCCTTGGGGGAAGACAAGCCCCCTTTCATGATCTGTGTCCACTATTCTACTAGTGATCCATATAACTAAAAACAACAAAATCCCTCTTTTTCTAAGAGGCCACAGGGATTAATCTCTCCTTGAGTCTACTTTCCTTACTCGTCAACCGACCTTGGAACAACCATCCCAAGTCCTCTTCGCCTCGGAGGAGAGAGATTGCATCTGGTAGAGGGCCAAAAACTGGCTTTGGGCCCTGACGGGCAGCCTTCCTCTGAACCCATCAGACTGGAGAGAGTATTTCCCCTGAGCTGTCCTGACTGGGACCCAAATGATATAGAGTCACCGAGGCTCTCAACAGGCATCACGATTCTCATAAGGGGGCTATGTGCAGCAGCAAAGAAGCCAACTAATTTATCTAAGGTAAGTGCGACTGTCCAGAAGGCAGATGAGTCCCGGCAGCCTTTTTTGAGCACCTTTTTATTTTTTATTTTTTTAAAATATGTATTTATTTATTTGAAAGTCAGAGTTACACAGAGAGAGGAGAGGCAGAGAGAGAGAGAGAGAGAGAGAGAGAGAGAGAGAATGTCTTCCATCCACTGATTCACTCCCCAATTGGCCACAATGGCTGGAGCTGTGCCAACCCGAAGCCAGGAGCCAGGAGCTTCTTCCAGGTCTCTCACATGGGCTCAGGGGCCCAAGGACTTAGGCCATCTTCTACTGCTTTCCCAGGACATAGCAGAGAGCTGGATCAGAAGAGGAGCAGCTGGGACTAGAACCGGTGTCCATATGGGATGCCTGCGCTTCAGGCCAGGGTGTTAACCTACTGCGCCACAGCGCCGGCCCCTGAGCACCTTTTTAAAGCATACCATGTGTATGCTCCCATAGATGCAGAAGCCCCTGAGACTAGCCGCACCATTAATTTGGCGTTTGTATCCCAGTCGGCCCCAGATGTTAGATGTAAGTTACAAAGATTGGAAGGGTTCAAGGAAAAGCTTCTTTATGAATTGGTAGATCTGGTTCAACAGGTCTATAATAATAGAGATGACCTTGTTATTACCCAGACAAAAAGGTGGCCAGGATTATGGCGGTAACCTTTAAAGAACTGGAAAGAAACCCCAGAGATTGGGCCAACAAGGACCCACTAAGACAAGATTGCCCTTAAGAAAAGATCAGTGTGCCTACTGCAAGGAAGCCTCAAAGCCTCATCAGTACCTGGAGGAACCTTCCTGCTCCTTACTTCGGGTTGGCAGAAAAAGAAGTCCATTCCTTGAGAAAAAATGAATCCAAGATTGATATCAGAAAAGTCCAAGTAGATAGACTGCAGGGAACTCAATTACAAAATAAAATTAACAAAATTAGAGAAATCATTTTAAAAAATAATAGATATAAGGGGCCGGTGCTCTGACATAACAGGTAAAGCTGCTGCCTTCAGTGCCAGCATCCCATATGGGCACCGGTTCGAGTCCCGGCTGCTCCACTTCCGATCCAGCTCTCTGCTGTGGCCTGGGAAAGCAGGAGAAGATGGTCCAAGTGCTTGGGCCCCTGCACCCGTGTGGGAGACCAGTAGAAGCTCCTGGCTCCTGGCTTCGAATTGGCACAGCCCCAGCCCTTGCAGCCAACTGGGGAGTAAACCAGCGAATGGAGGACCTCTCTCTCTCTGCCTCTCCTTCTCTCTCTGTGTAACTCTAACTTTCAAGTAAATAAATAAATCTTTAAAAAAAAAGAAAATAATAGATACAAGACAAAACGAACCTTACTTCGCTAGTTACTTCCCTAGGAAGCCTGAGCTCTGCTCCTAGTATTCTTAAACATTCTGAATGAGAGCCATCCCATCCCAGCAGGGTTTCTCTTTGTCCTGAACCGTTTTTCCTGATGATTATCTAGAAGAGATTTTATTAAAAAACAATCAGTACATGCACTTTGTTTACAGCAGTGCACAACACTAATGATAACTTTTAGAGCTTTCTCTCAGATGTTTATTCATAAAACAAGAACTCATGTTTTTGCTTCTCCCACATGTAGGCTTCTGAAGTGTGTTCTATATTTCTTAGCATGGAATATTTATAAATTGTTGGACATGTAACGACTTAATGTGTGAAATATAACTTGAAGTTGAATATGATTAACATTGATCTACATTTATACATATAATTCAATGTTGGATATAATGTATTTAATTTTTTATATGAAAGGCATGAAAATAGGTGAATATACATTATACATAAATTATTTTAATGTAATTACATTAATATCATTATTCACATTTTACAGAAATGGAAGCAGAGTTAATTATAAATACAAAATGTTCATGGAAAGTCACACTATCTTTTAATTCTATTATCCACCAACTTTATGAAGATACCTCATATGTATGTATCTGTGTGTGTGTTAAAGTTAAAACTGACATAATAATTAAAACCATATGTAAATAAGTGTATGTGGGCAAAAATATAAAATATTTTAGTTTCATCAGAAATCTTTGGTAGCATAATAAAGGAAAATTAAAATTACAAAGAAGATTACATAATCTCAAAATGTGTTGCATAAAAAAAATTAGTTTTAGGGGCTGGTGTTGCGGCGTAGCTGGTAAAAGCCAGCACCTGCAGTGCTGTCAAACCATATGGGTGCCAGTTCAAGTCCTGGCTGCTCCACTTCCGATCCCACTCTCTGCTATGGCCTGGGAAAGCAGTAGAAGATGGCCCAAGTCCTTGGGCCCCTGTAATCGTGTGGGAGACCCAGAGGAAGTTCCTGGCTCATGGCTTCAGACTGGCACAGCTGTGGCCATTGTGGCCAATTAGGGAGTGAACCAGCTGATGGAAAACCTCTCTCTCTCTGCCTCTCCTTCTCTCTCTGTGTAACTCTTTCAAATAAATAAATCTTTTTTAAAAATTAGTTTTAGAGGCCGGCGCCGCGGCTCACTAGGCTAATCCTCTGCCTTGCAGCACCGGCACACCCGGTTCTAGTCCCGGTCGGGGCGCCGGATTCTGTCCCGGTTGCCCCTCTTCCAGGCCAGCTCTCTGCTGTGGCCCAGGAGTGCAGTGGAGGATGGGCCCTGCACCCCATGGGAAACCAGGATAGGCATCCGGCTTCTGCCATCGGATCAGCACCGTGCGCCGGCCGCGGCGGCCATTGGAGGGTAAACCAATGGCAAAAAGGAAGACCTTTCTCTCTGTCTCTCTCTCTCTGTCCACTCTGCCTGTCAAAAAAATTAGTTTTAGAAACAGTTGAAACATTAATAAAGTAAGAACTGGAACATTT